CGCTATTTGATTACTAACAGCAGAACGTAATAAGTGCCCACTGGATTAAGCACACTCCTTCCAATAAGAACCTATCCTTTTAGCAGAAATTTTAAATAAGCACCTACTAACAGCCTTAAAATGTTTACTCCCAGGTACGACACCCCCTCAACCACCACGGAGACCACCTCGTAGCCCCAGGAATTAAGATTAATTTGCTTTACTGTAGAGTGCATGTATCATTTGATCAATGAGATAAAGGTAACAGTATGTACCATTTGTACTATGTTAAATCGTGCGCCTTTTGTCTTGAATGTTATCAAAACCAAACCATAGTAATTATATCAATCTTGGCAGATGAAGACAACCAATTAATCAGTCAAATAAGGTTAGTTGTGGTTTGATTGTGGGGGTGATTAGCCATGGCTGGAAAAAAGAGTGGTGCAAGACACGAAAAAAAAAGATAAAAAATAACATATATAAATTAATAAATGTAAACAGAAGAGCATAGAAATTACGAAAATGAGCAAAATCACTCTATTGTTATTGAAAACCGCCCAATTACTACTTCCTAGATAAACAAGAAAAATAGTGTGAGTATCAGGGTTGTCGCTAAGATTTCAAGTTGCCAGGTAAATATAACAAGTAGACGGGGAATCTAACAGCTGGGGATTTCTTCTGGTTCTATTTTTCTTCTAAAAGAAGCCGGGGGGCACATTCATAGTAGCTGAGGAAAATCCCCGGCCCCCAGCTCTTAAAGACAACCCTGGAGTATGTACTGCAACAGGTGTTAAATGAAGATTGAGTGGTATATCTATTTATGGCTTATGTCTTAAATATCATCTTGTTCATGTTTGAAGGATGAGTGTTAATCTATTTATGGATATAACTCTGTCTTCTTCGTTTTTCACAAAAAGGAAGTCTACTACTTTGAATTTGAATTTGAACATAATGTACAGAGATACATGTGGGAATTAAAATCGGCAGTAGTTTTAAAGGGTACTTCTTTTTCTAGTTAGAAAAACTGGAAAATTATTTCTTAAGTTGGAAATTTTTAGCAACAGAGTCAATTCATTATTAGGCAGAATGGTTTTGTTGGCATCAGGAGAGCAAAAATAGTATGACATGTTATTATATAAGCAGTGTTTAATCTATAACTTATTGATAATCAGCTAGTGATTAATGTATACAGATCTTAAACTATTTCTTGTACACACGCTAAAACAAAGAACTAGGTAACAACCGCCTCAACATTCTTTTGCTAGCAGGAAAAATATTTTTTGAAAGCGGCGTGTCAAATAATTACGGAAAGGAGATTAAAACATTATTTTGAAATATTTTATTGATAGGTTAAGATTTTTCTTACTATATAACGTGTTTGTCGATTCTGACTTAGCATGAAATTGCATGAATGAAATATAACAGTACGTAGCAGTCATTGATACGTGTCATTAGATAAAAAAATAGAAGTTCTTAAGTTATTGATGGAGAAATTAGTCACTGATGCTCACACATATTTTATCAGACAAATCTGTCATTACTTTTCGCCATTTGAGCTTTAAATAACGTGCATATCATTAACATTCCCTTCATTTCGGGATTGCAAAGTAGTTTTTATCAATCATTAGTAAAATTTAGCTATATTTAAAGGTAGCTGTCTAATATACAATGAGTCTTTAATCATGCAGGGGAATTAGAATTTGCAAATCAAAACAAGACCTTACACAACCCTTTTTCACAGGCAACCCTCACACGTGAATGTCAATGATGAAATTGAAATTGGAGTGATTTTAATAAACCCTAGGGGAAATAAACGCCCACATCATAAGAGGAGTGAGTTTTTTTTTACTTCCTAGCAGCTCTGTTTTGTCAATGAAAGAAGAAAGATGAAATCTTGGTTAACTATAAATTTTTCGTCTCACCCTTCTCTATATATATGAGATTTGTGCTTCAAAGTGTTTGAAGAGTCTACACCAAAAATTGTAGTCTGTGTTGAGCCCGCAGAGAGGCATCAAAGTTGTTCAAACTGATTTTGAAAATTTGTACCATTTCAAGGTCAAATTCCCCCAGTCCTACAAAAACACACTGAAGTCAAGTTACTCCCCCTTTCCACGGGTTGCCTATGTGGAAATGTTTAGGTTGAGTTTATGACTGGTCTGAATTTCAGGCATGCCTTTGAGTCGCATACTCTTATCAGGCAGTATGTTTAAGAGGAGTACTATGCGACTCCAAGGGATGTCTGAAATTCGGCTATTAGATAAGAGCCTTATATAAGCTTAGAACGCGAGAAATTGAACTTGAAAAGTTCAGAAAACATTTTTTACAGCATTTACAGCATCAATAGTTAAACCTTTGATTTTACATTCCATTGACTAAAAGTTCTTGATTCTAAGGTTTTCAAAGCCTTGAAAATATCCAAAGCGAGCTGCGCTCGTGTACTTTGGATCTGTAAGAATAAGCTGAACAACTTTTTCAATCAACATATTTTTCATATAAGCTTAATATAGTCATATTTTTGTATTTTCAATCTTGTTTGTCTTCTATGCAAAGTAGTAAATATTCATTTTAAATAGGCTATGAGTACATTTTGTTTTCTGATACCTTTATTTTTATTTTTTTGGAAAATAAACAGAAGTCAGTTTTTAGAAGCTGTCTCACTTTTGGTTGATTTACTACAAATCCGTACAAAAGCAACTCACCTGAGAGGATCGGTAGTATGTCTGTTATGTTTTCACGAAATTTGTTACGCGAAGGAAAGGCTTTTTTCTTGTCACAAAGGCACACAATGCGATTCAAATTATTAAACCTTCGTCGGCCATTTTGTTTTTCGTCAAGTTACGTGGTTCGTGTGCGCGCAGTTTATTTCCCGCCGGTCTTTCCCGCCCCATCTTTTTCGCGCGCCTTCAAGTTCGTATTTTCCACGAGTGTATCTTAGCTTTTATATTTATTAGTTATTTTGGGTGTGCAGCTACTGTATGTATTTTTGTTATTAATTCCATTTTTTGAAAATTTGCCTGCCTACAGCAGAAGTGAATGTCAGTTTTTGTCCGGATAAAAAACTTCTATAAATTTCAAATAGCTGTGTGCCGCCCAGTGGCTTACACACTGACCCTATTTACGGATGGCACATAACACCCACACACACTATACTTTAGTTTCATACACATCATTTTGCCATCTCGGCCCGCAAATAGCAAAAGCTAGACGAGGCGGGCGGAGAGGAAAGGTTACAGCAGTCATAACAGATAATATTGTCAAGTAACTAAACTTTGTGGATAAATAAGAATTATAGAAAAACGAGTTCAAGTTACAAAATATATAGTCTTACAGAATGATATTACAGGAAAAATTTACTACTAACCGAACCTACCAATTATTAGTGCATTGAGTCGAGGATGCAGAATTTGCCATTTTTTGTAGGAGAATGGGCCCTTCAACATAACTGTCCTCTGCTTCCATTATCGAGAGTTAAAAGTCATGAAAATATTGATATCCTATTTAAAGCCCAAACCCGAAAAAGACATTCAAGGAAAAAAACATAAACTAACACGCAAACTTTCATTAAAAGGCTTTCCTAATACTCTAAACGATAGCTATTTTTTCTCATGTTGCTGGGCATTCATTCAAGCACCTGAATTTTAGAGGATGTAATTTACTAGTAGTCTATCTAAGGATCACATCGAGAACACAACGCTAACAAGGGCAAAATTGATGCTATCCTATTTTAGGATAAAGACCCTCAAAAGCCATACCCTATTGGACATTTGTACATACCTATCTAGCCGATATATGGGAGTACTTCCCCCCCCGCCCTTCCCTCCCACACGCACGCACACACACACCCGAGGACAAAAAGCAGGATGGAAAGGTCGGTACAGTTCACATTGACCCGACGAAAGTCTCTTTCAAAGCTATGCCTGAGTGTAAACTATCCCTTAGTTAAAAAGAAAAAAAGTGATGCTGAGATCACTTTTGGCTGGAAAAAAGTTGGACGCAAATCAATACTGTCGATGTGGGAGTGTCAAATGTGATTCAACATGTTCAATGAAGTTTCTGTTTACAGACGTTTGCCGGCGAACAAGTTTAGCTATCCGTTTAATTGATAAGAATTATATACATGGGTTGATTGCTTTACCATTTATGAAACTTGTGCATCGTCCTCCCTGACAATGAAACAGTTTTATACGGGTGTTTAACAAGGTGAAACTCTGCGGTTTTAGTATTATAGTTTACTTGAGAAACCTGAAATGTCTTTCTCTAGGGCTTTTGCAATGCTGTTTTTGGATAAGGGTCGAGGTTACCAAGAGATGGCTCTTCAAGGCATACACATGGCTAAATATGGGCCATTATTCAGTTTACCGCTCTATATACCCTTCAACTAACACCGCCCCTTACAGAATAAAGGAAAATCGATGAAACTGAAGTTACAAAACATAATTTATTAAAGATGGGGCGTTGGATTTACACATCTAAGAGAACGGTATGTTTTCGTCCAAAAATTGGTCCACTGGACAAATTCGACCATGTTTATACTCTTATTCTGGTCCATTTGGCTATTTTGTGGGTGGTTAGTGTTGCTTCTGCAGTACATGCTACTCCTAACCCGACGAGACCGCTTGCGTAATGGTGGCTCATTTATTTATTCTTTTATATGCATGTAAATGAGCCTTGCTGGTCTCGTTTGAAAGTAAGAATTCTTTTGTATTGTGCACATGCTAACGAGGTCAGAAAGGCTAATTATCATACATATAAAGAATATATTACTAAGCCGCCATTATGAAAGAGGTCTATAAGGCTTTTGGAAACGAAGAGTTCTTGAGCTACCAGCCACTAGATAATTTTTCTTTCATTTCATGTCATACCTCACCAGGTAGAGGTCTCCGCCATTTTCTCACTCTTCCTTTTTTTTTACTACTGTTTTCCTAGTCAAATTTCGGTTTTGTTATGTCTTTTCACGGCTTGTTCTTAAGTTGCTTCTGATGATCATGATTACGTTTTGTCTTCAGAACCAGCCTGTGATAAGGTCTCTTAATTCCGCTTCTCTTGCCTGCCCTTGTCAATGGTACACCCGCTCGACAGCATCTCCTGGGACAGTAGGCGGGGCAGAACTGTGGCGTATGTTGTACGCACTGCACGGGGCAGGGGGCAGGAACAGGCATGGGTTGAGTAGCAGGGTATGGAGCTGGAAAATATATTGGCGGTTCAGGGTATGACATAGGAATTACTGGTACTGTGGGAGCAACTACTGGAGTCGAAACAAATGGTAAGCTGGTAACAGGATTGGAGCATTGAATTCCAGTTGAACACACTGTACTGCATGTAGGAGGAACACAGGGGTTTGGACAGCCTACAGGCTTGCAGCCAGAAAAACCTGAAGGAAACGTGACTCCTAAAACAGAAGAAAAAAATATGAGATTGAAGCAACTTCCAGTCAAGATAGTTAATGTGATAACGCTAAAGGATTTTTTGAGCCCTCTCATATACGACCTAGAAATAACGACCTGATAAGCTTCAATTTTATTTCAGGGCTATGAACTTGAACTGAGTATGACGCCATGGGCCTTTCTCACAAGGCAAATATTTTGTCCCGAGAGACTAAAGCAGCTTTGTATTACCTGTCTAGCCTCGCTCCCAATTTTTCACTACGAGGTAGAGGGTGGTTTCAGTCTCCTGGGACAATATGGCCGCCGTGTGCCGCCCATGCTTGTCCACTCTCATTTTGACATTTCCCCGTAAATTTAAATACTAAAGGCGCTGGCTTGTTTTACTCTTTTTCTCCTCTCATCCTAGTCATGCCATCTGTTTTTCATTCCTTATTCGTTCAAATTATAAAGTATAGCTTTTGTCGGCAGGAAAGACATACCGAATAGAGCTTCTTTCATAAAATAGAAAAACCAAGAGAGAGGAAAGACGGTATAAGGGACAGTTGAAAAGAGGCACGCATTTACCTAATATATAAGTTCCCTTTAACCTCCTTCAGATATAATTTCAAGGGAAATAAGGCGTTTTGCAGCTTTCGTCACATGCGAAAAGCCGTAAATACCGCTGCCTGAAAAACACTGTGTGGTCATAATACCGATAACAAGGGGCAATGTTATCAAGTCACCCTCGTTAAAATGAATAAGGAGACGGGATTGGGTTGACTTGGGAAATTGTGCGTACCTCTGGAAAATTTCTAGCTACGCCCTTGTTGAGGCGATTTTAGGCGTCTGCAAAGGACTACAGGACTGATCTAATTGCTATGCATGCGGTACTATATTCACTTTTGTAGCCTCTATTCAACGCGACTTTAGTCTAAACCTATGCGCTAGTACAAGGTACACAGACGCCCCTATCTACGTACCTGTCCCGTTGTATAGTCTCTTTGGCAGCTTGTCAACTGGAATACTTCCAATATATCCGGTTTTAAGTAGATTAAGCAACAGCTGCACGGGGTTAGATATGGTGCTAAGAAACTTCAGATAAAAGTCCACTAACAGACTTCCAGGTCTGCGAAGAAACAAAAGAAACTTAGTAGTATAGTGCGAACTTATTTAACCTCCATTCTGGGCAGGAGTCTCAAGAGCAGGGTTCACTGCCAATGACGGATCCAGACCTTCAGATAAGGGGGGGGGGGGAGGTCATCCAGTAAGACCACAACTTGACATAATAGGAATAGAGAGGTTAAGTAACAAATGATCTCTAATAAGCCTCCCCTCTCTATTAAGCCCCTCCCCCCCTCCTGGGATGGTTTATTATTTTACCAACTGGAAGTTCAGATTTGATTCTGATCGTCGGTTGCTTGACCTCCAACCTTCTTGTTCTTGAGCTTCTCCACCTTGTGTTCTAGTTCTTTAGGGAGAACTGATACCATCGTCTTTTCTAAATTAAAGAAGCCCCCCCCCCCTCAAATGGGCTTGAAATAGTGGATTTACAACAGAATTTTGTGTGCTATGGTTGAAGGTACCAAGTAATGACTTCTGCAGATTGAACTAAAACAGCAACATCATCATGATGAGATAGCCTCTTTAATGATATTTAAGAGTTTGGTCAGATCAGGTATCTCAGCAACTGTATGACTTTTTTTTATGTCATGTGTTTAGGATGAACCCCCTACACCCCCTCGCCCAGACTATCATCAGAGGGACAAAACCACAGGCTCCTCAGGTATACATATTTTTATTTTTTTATATATATGCTCTTATTCAATGCCTATCCTCTTTATGCCTCATGGCACATTGGGCCTTATGGACCTTTTCAACCTCTCCCTGTTGGCTTCATGTTTTATCTGGCAGATGCACGTAAGCTGCATCCCAACTTTTGAATAAAGAAAGCTGTAGCCTATCTGCAAGTGTGTTATGGTATACATGCAAGGCAAGCAATCATGCTAGAAAGTATACATTATGTACAAAGAAATTGCTCAGACTTGCATGACCACTAATAATAATAATTATTGTAATGATAATAGTAATAATAATAATAATAATAATAATAATAATAATAATAATAATGACTTAAGTACAGAATCCACAAAGTGGGTCTTCGCCTGTACACTAAAAGCTATCTAAACTAATATTCTAGAAATTTACAAATGCGCTAACAATTAAATTCTGTGGGAATAGTTAAAAAATAATGGTAATAATAAATAAATAAACTAAAAAAATAAAAATAAAGTAAAATGAAATGTCTCTGTGTCACTGAGTTGAGTCCAGAGCATTATATTTTGCAACTGAAATTAAGTAAAAGGCTTGCCTCAAAATTTCTTTTATGTGGTTCACAGACAGCAGTAGCAGAAGACAGCGTCATAAAACAGCACCTGTTGAGACAAAAGATTTACCAGGGATGCTTAGTGCAAGTGGTTCACGGCTCCCTCCTCCTGTCCAACGACGAAGCAGTTCACCAGGTATAGTAGCATGCATCAACGTTATACTGTTCTACATGGTGTAGATCAGGAGTTCTTATATCTTGACCTCTTTTGGAAGCACATGCCTGAAGGTATAATTTATATATTAAGTTGTTTTGGTGAGGGACAGCCCCTCTGAGTGACAGTAAACGCTCTCATATTAGAACCTATCATTTCGGGTTCAGGCTTATCAAGTTCTTAGTTACCAGGTGCAAAATGAGAAATCAGGCTGAAAATGTTAATAAAAATGTAATGTTCTTAAAATTTGTTTCAGAATTACTATAAATTATACATTACTAGAGGTTCAATTGACATACAATATTTTATTACTTACATTAAAAAATTAATTTCATATAAAAATAAACTAATTTTTATTACTTATATAAGAAACATTAATAGGTTAAAATTCAACCTCAAGTTGTAATGCAGTTTTAACATTTCATAACATTCCTTAGCTCTCTAGACCAGCAGCCCTTCTCCAACCCCTGCAAATTGGTCCTCAATACTCCAGCATCCAGCACACCATAGTACTTCAATATGAGTTACTGTAAATTGTTTGTTTTTTATTCTGGTATCCTCTTTCTTTTTATATAAGAACACATGTTCTATTCATCTGGCTGTTAATTGGTTCTTATATATATGGTGCTTTACTGGTCAACTTTCAGCCTTATGATTTTAATCCACTTGGTCTTATATGCGGTTGTTTACTGTACTTGCCACTTTCTTTAACAGCTGAAAAACTCAATCACCTTTTGTAGATTTTATATGCTGCACTTATTAGTTCATTGAGCTTCAAAAAGACAGTAATAAGTCATAAAGAAAAAACAAAAAAAATTAATGTTTAATGAGTGTCTTTATATGTGATAAAGAAACGTTTAACTTTACTGTAAGAATGAGTTGATCTATATCAGAGATTTTAAAGCCATTCAAAAAACCCGCCGTCATGTATTCAGGTTTAAAAACTCTTGCCCTCGCCTTGAGTTTTTAAACCTGATCATACACTCCTACTCGCTTTTTAAACAGTACAAAAAAGTTATGTGTTACATTGCACCTGTGTGGTGTCATCAGTTATCTTGTTTCAGTTTTATGCACACTGATATGTCACTGTATCTTTTCTCTAGGTGGTGTGGGCTACACTACACAGTTAAAGGTAAATTCCTATTAAATAAATTTGCTTTATGTTATATTTCAAAAAGTCACATGTTGAAATAATTACCATTTTGTTTGCTTTCCTTTTGTGTTAGGAGCCATCATCTGAAAGGCAGAGGCCTCCTGAGCCCATACCAGAGTCAACACCCCCTAAAGTTGCACCTCGTCCTTCACCCCGCCCTCCTTTGTCAACTCCCTCTGATGCAACAAGATCTCCTACTCCTATTCCACCCTCTGAGAGAGTCAGACACGCTGGAGTGCCTGTCCTCCCAGTGCCGACTGCTAAAGGTTTGTCTACTTGTATCTTATGCTTTATGCATGGCTGTAGTAATTGATTATACCAGTTATAAGAGGACGCAGCAGGGCCCGGCGGTTAGCACACTAGAATTGCAATCCAGAGGTGCTGAGTTCAATCCCCGCCATACCTGTTAGCTAGATTTGTTCTCAGTAGTCCCAAGTGCAACTCCATGGTCACACGTGTAAGTAAGCAACTGGTTTGCCTTTGGTCAGTTGGGATTCTTAACCATGTTTCTTTATTTAAACTATTGGTTTCTGTTCTTTAGTATTTGTGGGCCATAATGTTAACTACTGGGTTACCAGTTATTGTGTTACTCTTACAAAGTCAATTTGTTTTCTAAATATTATTATTAGATTATATCACAACTTAATTACCTAATTACTTAATAGAACTTTTTCCTGTTTATTAATGTTATCATTATTATTGTTGTTGTTATTATTATTATTATCGTTATCGTCGTTATTGCAATACAGGTCATGTGGCATTACTCTAGAGGAATCCAACATTCAAATTTTGTCTAATTTAGTTTACAGGCACATAGTCTTGACTACGGTGTTTCCTCGAGTAAGCGCCCACGCTCTAATGAGTGCCCTCCCCCAAATAAGCACCTGCCCCCGAGGCCAAAATATCTCCCTCAAAAAAGTGCCTGCCTCCCCTCCCCCATCACTTTCTTTAGTAGTAGGGATACTAAGAAAACCTATTTCTATTGCCACGTTATTGATAACTCTGTGACTGTGTAAACTGTAGAATGGGACTAAGGTAGTCACTTGATTACTAACAGCAGAACGTAATAAGTGCCCACTGGATTAAGCACACTCCTTCCAATAAGAACCTATCCTTTTAGCAGAAATTTTAAATAAGCACCTACTAACAGCCTTAAAATGTTTACTCCCAGGTACGACACCCCCNGGACGCAGCAGGGCCCGGCGGTTAGCACACTAGAATTGCAATCCAGAGGTGCTGAGTTCAATCCCCGCCATACCTGTTAGCTAGATTTGTTCTCAGTAGTCCCAAGTGCAACTCCATGGTCACACGTGTAAGTAAGCAACTGGTTTGCCTTTGGTCAGTTGGGATTCTTAACCATGTTTCTTTATTTAAACTATTGGTTTCTGTTCTTTAGTATTTGTGGGCCATAATGTTAACTACTGGGTTACCAGTTATTGTGTTACTCTTACAAAGTCAATTTGTTTTCTAAATATTATTATTAGATTATATCACAACTTAATTACCTAATTACTTAATAGAACTTTTTCCTGTTTATTAATGTTATCATTATTATTGTTGTTGTTATTATTATTATTATCGTTATCGTCGTTATTGCAATACAGGTCATGTGGCATTACTCTAGAGGAATCCAACATTCAAATTTTGTCTAATTTAGTTTACAGGCACATAGTCTTGACTACGGTGTTTCCTCGAGTAAGCGCCCACGCTCTAATGAGTGCCCTCCCCCAAATAAGCACCTGCCCCCGAGGCCAAAATATCTCCCTCAAAAAAGTGCCTGCCTCCCCTCCCCCATCACTTTCTTTAGTAGTAGGGATACTAAGAAAACCTATTTCTATTGCCACGTTATTGATAACTCTGTGACTGTGTAAACTGTAGAATGGGACTAAGGTAGTCACTTGATTACTAACAGCAGAACGTAATAAGTGCCCACTGGATTAAGCACACTCCTTCCAATAAGAACCTATCCTTTTAGCAGAAATTTTAAATAAGCACCTACTAACAGCCTTAAAATGTTTACTCCCAGGTACGACACCCCCTCAACCACCACGGAGACCACCTCGTAGCCCCAGGAATTAAGATTAATTTGCTTTACTGTAGAGTGCATGTATCATTTGATCAATGAGATAACGGTAACAGTATGTATCATTTGTACTATGTTAAATCGTGCGCCTTTTGTCTTGAATGTTATAAAAACCAAACCATAGTAATTATATCAATCTTGGCAGATGAAGACAACCAATTTTAATTAAATTAAAATTTGATTAAAATCAGTCAAATAAGGTTAGTTGTGGTTTGGTTGTGGTGGTGATTAGCCATGGCTGGAAAAAATTGACTGGTGCAAGACACGAAAAAAAAAAGATAAAAAATAACATATATAAATAAATAAATATAAACAGAAGAGCATAGAAATTAAGTAAATGAGCAAAATCACTCTATTGTTATTGAAAACCACCCAATTACTACTTCCTAGATAAACAAGAAAAATAGTGTGAGTATCAGGGTTGTCGCTAAGATTTCAAGTTGCCAGGTAAATATAACAAGTAGACGGGGAATCTAACAGCTGGGGATTTCTTCTGGTTCCATTTTTCTTCTAAAAGAAGCCGGGGGGGCACATTCATAGTAGCTGAGGAAAATCCCCGGCCCCCAGCTCTTAAAGACAACCCTGGAGTATGTACTGCAACAGGTGTTAAATGAAGATTGAGTGGTATATCTATTTATGGCTTATGTCTTAAATATCATCTTGTTCATGTTTGAAGGATGAGTGTTAATCTATTTATGGATATAACTCTGTCTTCTTCGTTTTTCACAAAAAGGAAGTCTACTACTTTGAATTTGAATTTGAATTTGAACATAATGTACAGAGATACATGTGGGAATTAAAATCGGCGGTAGTTTTAAAGGGTACTTCTTTTTCTTGTTAGAAAAAATAGAAAATTATTTCTTAAGTTAGAAATTTTTAGCAACAGAGTCAATTCATTATTAGACAGAATGGTTTTGTTGGCATCAGGAGAGCAAAAATAGTATGACATGTTATTATATAAGCAGTGTTTAATCTATAACTTAACTTAGTGATTAATGTATACAGATCTTAAACTATTTCTTGTACACACGCTAAAACAAAGAACTAGGTAACAACTGCCTCAACATTCTTTTGCTAGCAGGAAAAATATTTTTTGAAAGCGATGTGTCAAATAATTACGGAAAGGAGATTAAAACATTATTTTGAAATATTATTTTATTGATAGGTTAAGATTTTTCTTACTATATAACGTGTTTGTCGATTCTGACTTAGCATGAAATTGCATGAATGAAATATAACAGTACGTAGCAGTCATTGATGCGTGTCGTTATATAAAACATAGAAGTTCTTAAGTTATTGATGGAGAAATTAGTCACTGATGCTCACACATATTTTATCAGACAAATCTGTCATTACTTTTCGCCATTTGAGCTTTAAATAACGTGCATATCATTAACATTCCCTTCATTTCGGGATTGCAAAGTAGTTTTTATCAATTATTAGTAAAATTTAGCTGTATTAAAGGTAGCTGTCCAATATACAATGAGTCTTTAATCATGCAGGGGAATTAGAATTTGCAAATCAAAACAAGACCTTACACAACCCTTTTTCATAGGCAACCCTCACACGTGAATGTCAATGATGAAATTGAAATTGGAGTGATTTTAATAAACCCTAGGGGAAATAAACGCCCACGTCATAAGAGTGAGGTTTTTTTGACTTCCTAGCGGCTCTGTTTTGTCAACGAAAGAAGAAAGATGAAATCTTGGTCAACTATAAATTTTTCGTCTCACCCTTCTCTTTATCTATGAGATTTGTGCTTCAAAGTGTTTGAAGAGTCTACACCGAAAATTGTAGTCTGTGTTGAGCCCGCATAGAGGCATCAAAGTTGTTCAAACTGATTTTGAAAATTTGTACCATTTCAAGGTCAAATTCCCCCAGTCCTACAAAAACACACTGAAGTCAAATTACTCCCCCTGTCCAGGGGTTGCCTATGTGGAAATGTTTAGGTTGAGTTTATGACTGGTCTGAATTTCAGGCATACCTTCGAGTCGCATACTCTTATCAGGCAGTATGTTTGAGAGAAGTACTATGCGACTCCAAGCGATGTCTGAAATTCGGCTATTAGATAAGAGCCTTATATAAGCTTAGAACGCGAGAAATTGAACTTGAAAAGTTCAGAAAACATTTTTTACAGCATTTACAGCATCAATAGTTAAACCTTTGATTTTACATTCCATTGACTAAAAGTTCTTGATTCTAAGGTTTTCAAAGCCTTGAAAATATCCAAAGCGAGCTGCGCTCGTGTACTTTGGATCTGTAAGAATAAGCTGAACAACTTTTTCAATCAACATATTTTTCATATAAGCTTAATATAGTCATATTTTTGTATTTTCTATCTTGTTTGTTTTCTATGCAAAGTAGTAAATATTCATTTTAAATAAGATATAAGTACATTTTGTTTTCTGATACCTTTATTTTTATTTTTTTGGAAAATAAACAGAAGTCAGTTTTTAGAAACTGTCTCATTTTTGGTTGATTTACTACAAATCCTTACAAAAGCAACTCACCTCGATCGGATCGGATCGGTAGTATGTCTGTTATGTTTTGACGAAATTTGTTACGCGAAGGAAAGGCTTGTTTCTTGTCACAAAGGCACACAATGCGACTCAAATTGTTAAACCTTCGTCGGCCATTTTGTTTTTCGTCAAGTTACGTGGTTCGTGTGCGCGCAGTTTATTTCCCGCCGGTCTTTCCCGCCCCATCTTTTTCGCGCGCCTTCAAGTTCGTATTTTCCACGAAAACTGCCCCTTATTTCCACCCAACTACTGTATCTTAACTTTTATATTTATTAGTTATTTTGGCTGTGCAGCTGCTGTATGTATTTTTGTTATTAATTCCATTTTTTTTGTAAATTCTTTAAGTTGCCTACAGCAGAAGTGAACGTCAGTTTTTGTCCGAATAAAAAACTTCCATAAATTTCAAATAGCTGTGTGCCGACCAGTGACCCTATTTACGGATGGCACATAACACACACACACAAACACTATACTTTATTTTCATACACATCATTTTGCCATCTCCGCCCGCAAATAGCAAAAGCTAGACGAGGCGGGCGGAGAGGAAAGGTTACAGTAGTCATAACAGATAATATTGTAAAGTAACTAAATAAACTATGTGGATAAATAAGAATTATAGAAAAACGAGTTCAAGTTACAAAATATATAGTCTTACAGAATTATACTACAAGAAAAATTTACTACTAACCGAACCTATCAATTATTAGTGCATTGAGTCGAGGATGCAGAATTTGCCATTTTTTGTAGGAGAATAGGCCCTTCAACATAATCGTCCTCTGCTTCCATTATCGAGAGTTAAAAGTCATGAAAATATTGATATCCTAATTAAAGCCCAAACCCGAAAAAGACATTGAAGGAAAAAACCAAAAACTAACACGCAAACTTTCATTGAAAGGCTTTCCTAATACTCTAAACGATAGCTATTTTTTCTCATGTTGCTGGGCATTCATTCACGCACTTGAATTTTAGACGATGCAATTTACTAGTAGCCTATCTAAGGATCACATCGAGAACACAACGCTAACAAGGGAAAAAACGATACTACCTTATTTAAGGATATAGACCCTCAAAAGCCATACCCTATTGGACATCTATACATACCTATCTAGCCGATATATGGGAGTACTTGCCCCCTCCTCCCCTCCCACACGCACACGCACACACCCGAGGACAAAAAGCAGGATGGAAAGGTCGGTGCAGTTCACATTGATCTGACGAAAGTCTCTTTCAAAGCTATGCCTAGGTGTGAACTATCCCTTAGTTAAAAAGAAAAGATCACTTTTGGCTGGAAAAAATGGACGCAAATCAATACTGTCGATGTGCAGTGGAAGTGTCAAATGTGATTCAACACGTTCAGTGAAGTTTCTGTTTACAGACGTTTGCCGGCGAACAAGTTCAGCTAAGTTAATTAACAAGAATTATATATGTGGGTAGATTGCTTTACCATTTATGAAACTTGTGCATCGCCCTCCCTGAGAATGAAACAGTTTTATACAGGCGTTTAATAGGGTGAAACTCTGCGGTTTTAGTATTATAGTTTACTTGAGAAACCTGAAATGTCTTTCTCTGGGGCTTTTGCAATGCTGTTTTTGGATAAGGGTCGAGGTTACCAAGAGAAGGCTTTGAGTTGAAGGCATACATAACATGACAGCTAAACATGGGCATTATTCAGTTTACCGCCCTATATACCCTTCAACTAACACCTCCCCTTACAGAATAAAGCAAAATCGATGAAACTGAAGTTACAAAATATAATTTATTAAAGATGGGGCGTTGGATTTACGCATCTGAGAGAACGGTATGTTTTTGTCCAAAAATTGGTCCACTGGACAGATTCGACCATGTTTATACTCTTATTCTGGTCCATTTGGCTATTTTGTTGGTGGTTAGTGCACAGGTAACCCAGGCTCTGTGATACTACCACAGTACCGTTCCAGTAAAATTACAGTGTTTGTATGGGGTAAAAATACGATCCTAAAATTTCTAGGAAATACTAAATAAAGATCAATGAAACTTACTCTGCAAATTCACTCTATATACAGTAATAATGTATATAGAGCGAATTTGAAAAAATTTTCACGAAACTTCGTTGGAGCATTAAGGACAACAACAACTAACTGTAGAGTAAGTTTCATTGATCTTTATTTAGTATTTCCTAGAAATTTTAGGATCGTATTTTTACCCCATACAAACACTGTAATTTTACTGGAACGGTACTGTGGTACTATCACAGATCGAGCCTGGGTTACCTCTGGTTAGTGTTGCTTCTGCAGTACAAGCTACTCCTAACCTGACGAGACCGCTTTCGTAATGGTGGCCCATTTATTTATTCTTTTATATGCATGTAAATGAGCCTTGCTGGTCTCGTTTGAAAGTAAAAATTCTTTTGTATTGTGCACATGCTAACGAGGTCAGAAAAGCTAGTTATCATACATATAAAGAATATATTACTAATTTGCCGCCATTATGAAAGAGGTCTATAAGGCTTTTGGAAACGAAGAGTTCTTGAGCTACCAGCCACCAGATAATCTTTTCTTTCATTTCGTGTCATACCTCACCAGGTAGAGGTCTCCGCCATTTTCTCACTCTTCCTTTTTTTACTACTCTTTTCCAAGTCTAATTTCGGTTTTGTTAAGTCTTTTTCTTGTTCTTAAGTTGCTTCTGATGATTACGTTTTGTCTTCAGCACCACCCTATGATAAGGTCTCTTAATTCCGCTTCTCTTGCCTGCCCTTGTCAATGGTACACCCGCTCGACAGCATCTCCTGGGACAGTAAGCGGGACAGAACTGCGGCGTATGTTGCACGCACTGCACGGGGCAGGGGGCAGGAACAGGCATGGGTTGAGTAGCAGGGTATGGAGCTGGAAAATATATTGACGGTGCAGGGTATGACATAGGAATTACTGGTACTGTGGGAGCGACTACTGGAGTCGAAACAAATGGTAAGCTGGTAACAGGATTGGAACATTGAATTCCAGTTGAACATACTGTACTGCATGTAGGAGGAAGACAGGGGTTTGGACAGCCTACAGGCTTGCAGCCAGAAAAACCTGGAGGAAACGTGACTCCTGAAACAGAAGAAAAAAAATATGAGATTGATGCAACTTTCAGTCAAGATAGGTAGTGTGATAACCCTGAAGGATTTTTGGGCCCCCTCATATACGACCTCGAAACAACGACCTGATAAGCTTCAATTTTATTTCGGGGCAATGAACTTGAAATGAGCATGACGTCATGTTTGTCCACTCTCATTTTGACATTTTCCCCATAAATGTAAATACTAAAGGCGCTTGTTTTAATCTTCTTCTATTCTCATCCCAGTCATGCCAACTGTTCTTTTCATTCCTTAATCGTTCAAATTACAAATGATAGCTTTTTGCCTAAAGGAAAAACATACTGGATAGGGTTTCTGTTCACACGTAGGACCGGTGATTTCGGCTCGATTTCTGTAACGGAGCGAAGCTACGCCGCGCTGATCTCTAAAGTTGAGGATCTCATATCATGATTAGATAGGTGTTCACAGTATACTCAACCGAATATTTTTTTCGAGTCGAAATGAAAATCTATGAGGTATAGTGTGCGCATAGCCGTATAAACCTCCAAGTATTAATTGTACCCTCCCTCTATTCACCTGCTTTCTCTTCAAAATTGGCTAAAGAAAAAGAAACCAAGCCAAAAAAACTATGAGCATAGGTGCAGCTATCTGTACGCCCAGTACGCACGTGCGCCTGGAAAAATGGCGAAGATAAAATTAAAAAACAAACACAAAATAGAAAAGCAAAGCAAGGGGAAAGAAGGTAAATAAGCGCATTTACCTAATATATAAGTTCCCTTTAACCTCCTTCAGATATAACTTCAAGGGAAATAAGGCGTTTTGCAGCTTTTGTCACATGCGAAAAGCCGTAAATACTGCTGCCTGCAGAACACGGTGGTCACAATACCGATAAAAAAGGGGAATGTAATCAAGCCACCCTCGTTAAAATGAATGTGGAGACGGGATTGGGTTAACTTGGGAAATTGTGCGTACCTCTGGAAAATTTCTAGTTACGCCCTTGTTGAGGAAATTTTAGGAGTCCGCAAAGAACTACAGGACTGATCTAATTGCTATGCATGAGGTACTATATTCACTTTTGTAGCCTCTTAACGGGACTTTGGTCTAAACCTATGCGCTGGTACAACGAACACAGACACTCCTATCCACGTACCCGTCCCGTTGTAGAGTCTCTTTGGCAGCTTATCAACTGGAATACTTCCAATAAACCCGGTTTTAAGTAGATTAAGCAACAGCTGTACGGGGTTAGATATGGTGCTCAGAAACTTCAGATAAAAGTCCACTAACAGACTTCCAGGTCTGCAAAGAAACACAAGAAACTTAGTAGTATAGTGCACACTTATTTAACCTCTATTCTGAGCAGGAGTCTCAAGAGCAGGGTTCACTGCCAGTGGCGGATCCAGACCTTCAGATAAGGGGGGAGGGAGGGGGGGGGGTCATCCAGTAAAACCACAACTTGACATAATAGGAAAAGACAGGTGAAGTAACAAATGATGTGTAAACACCCTCGGAGACCCAGAGTTTAAAACAGGTTAACGTTCGCCCATGAAAATGCCGTCGTTCCTAATGGTTGTACCTAGATTTCCCAAAATAATGTCTTAGCTTCGGCTTTTACTTGCATTGTGTTTCTCTGTCTCACACTTGTAACGCAACGGTCGCTCACAGACGTCCTACCACAGTACTTCACAGCCTTCCAAGAGAGAAAGAATTAAATATATACGGTGCGGACGAAGCATATAAACGGCAAATGTGATCATCGCACTTAGAAATGTTATCCATTTACCGTAATGATAATTAAACATGGAGGATAAAAAAGAGCCGAAGTGAAATGCAGGCTTCAGTGAAATCCGAACTCTGACTTTATGAGTGACCAGTTAAGCAATATGCGTTTTCATTCAAGTTAAACTGAATAATGTTTGATGTCACCACCTACCGGAAACTTTGAACACGACATTGTGTTACTGCTTTTATAGCTGACTTAACCTAACGGAGAAAACAGTTTGTCANATAATGTCTTAGCTTCGGCTTTTACTTGCATTGTGTTTCTCTGTCTCACACTTGTAACGCAACGGTCGCTCACAGACGTCCTACCACAGTACTTCACAGCCTTCCAAGAGAGAAAGAATTAAATATATACGGTGCGGACGAAGCATATAAACGGCAAATGTGATCATCGCACTTAGAAATGTTATCCATTTACCGTAATGATAATTAAACATGGAGGATAAAAAAGAGCCGAAGTGAAATGCAGGCTTCAGTGAAATCCGAACTCTGACTTTATGAGTGACCAGTTAAGCAATATGCGTTTTCATTCAAGTTAAACTGAATAATGTTTGATGTCACCACCTACCGGAAACTTTGAACACGACATTGTGTTACTGCTTTTATAGCTGACTTAACCTAACGGAGAAAACAGTTTGTCAGACACTTATTCAAGACTGACTGAGACAGTTTAAAAAGAAGTCTACATCGGTTACGTCATTCAGTGAGATAAATAAAGCTGTTCCTCACCCTGTCACTGCTTTTAATAAAAAACGAGCGATAGAAGTAATGGAAGCAAAGACTGAACCGGTGACCATAAACAACGGAGCAAAAGCGAAAAAGACCAAAAATGAGCAAATCTCTTGTTCCTTCTCTAGTAGCCCGAGTAGCTGGGAATATGTTGGTGGGTTTTTTATTTTGTGGTTCGTAAAGTAAGAGATACAACCGCGCGAAAGCTGAACCGAGGATGAAAAGCAAAACGATGGGCGAGGGGGCCTTCTCCCCACGCCCCTCCCCTATCGTTTCCTGTTTTGAACCTGCTTCATCATTCGCGCTGCTCTAACTCTTACTTTGCGAACCACAAAAGAGAAAAAAAAACAAAAACAAAAATACCGCCAGCTACGCGGACTACTTCTCTGCCCACTTCTATCGAGTGTCCGCCGTAAGCTTCTGTCACTATCAAGAACTTCACAAAAACAGAATAAAGTTTGTTTTGAAAGAAACCGCCATAATAACTAAAAACAAGAACAAATCAGATTTAAGCGGAGTACGTTTTGAAGGAAAATGGAAGCTTATTTCTTACCTTACTACATAGTTGTTTTTCAAGCCTCTTGAACTCAGAAGATTGTTTGTTGTTCAGCGCGGGATGGTGTTTGCCACTGGGTATTCGCACCACAGCATTAAAGGATTTCACAGGGGAACCTTTGAAAGCAGTACAATAACTAATTGAAAGGCACGACCATAAAATTGACAGTCGCTAAAGACGTGAAATCGCAATGTTTTGTTGTGCGTGCGTTCCCATTTTGGTTAAACCTTCACAACATAATAAAAAACAATATTATTCAAAGACCGTTTGTGCCGCAAAAACGGTCCGTACATCGTTCAACTTCATTTGGTGGTAAATGTCTAGTTTACAGCAGAATGAAGTTATTTAGAATTGCTGATTTGCATAAAGAATAAAGAATGGCAAGAGAACAAACAATTATCCTATTACGATTGTCCGAATTATTCAAAACAAAGCGTCTGGCTAAGAAAGGTTAACTAAAATAAGGCTACCAACCTGGCCTGTTTGTAACAGAAGCTTTTGTCCTCGGTCTTGGGGTTGTCGCCACCACTGGTTGTGTAGTTGCAGCAATTTTTGCCGTTATGGGTGTGCTTAAACTGGGCTTTTTGGTACCGGTGAGCACCCCTGGTTTAACTGAAGACCCTGGCGATGGTGATGAAGTCCTTGGTGACGTTATTACTGCCACTGTTGTTGGAGCTAGGGTTGGTTTGCCTGCGTTTTTTGCGGCTGCTGCTGCCTGGGCCGCTTTTGCTGCTTGCGCTTTAGCTGCAGCCTTGGAAGCCGCCGCAGCGTTTTTTGCTGAAGCTGCCTTTGCATTGGCTACCGCTGCTTTGACAGCTGCTTGTTTCTTAGCTACTTTGGCTGCATTTGCTGCTACTTGCGCCTTTGCAGCAGCTGCCGCTTTTGCTTTTGCCGCAGCTTTGACAGCTGCAGCAGTCTTCGATGCCTTTCTTGACCTAGCTGCGGCTGCTCTGGCGGCAACAGCTGCCTTGACCGCGGCTGCTCGTGCTTGAAGCTTACCTGCTGCTTTGATTGCAGCATTTGCCTTTGCTCTTTGTGCTGCTTTCTGAACTGCCTTTGCTTTAGCTGCAGCTGCTGTTGCTTTAGCTGCAGCTGCTGCCCTGACAGCGTTTGCTTTCCTGGCAGCTATTGCTGCCTTCGCAGCCGCCGCTGATTTCTTCGTTGCTTGCGCCTTAGCCGCGGCAGCCTTCTTAGCTGCTGCAGCTGCTTTTGCCACAGCCATAGCTTTGGCAGCAGCCCGAGCTTGCGCTGCTGCTGCAGCCTTTGCTTGCGTCGCTGCTTGTCTCGCTGCCGCAGCTTTGGCTGCAGCCGCCTTTTTTGCAGCCATGGCTGCCTTTGCCTTTGCAGCTGCATTAGCTGCTGCTGCCTTTGCTGCGGCGACAGCTTGTTTTGCTGCTTGCACTGCTTTGGATTTAGCTGCCGCTTTTGCCGCAGCAGCAGAGTTTGCAGCAGCAACCGCTGGTGACACAGTCACTTTAGGAGTTGCGGCAGTTGGCTTTGGAGTAGCAGTTGCTACGGTTGGTACAGTTGCTGGTGTAGCTCCGATGAAAACCGTTGCAGGAAGCCCAGCTACTCCAGGACAAAGCACATCATCTAGGGTACTAGATATAGCTGTGAATTTAATAATATTAAGTCACAAAGGCGTGAGCATTTTCATAATATTTTACAGATAGACAGTACGAATAACAGAATGGAAGACAGTCGGGGGTTGCAATGGCGTGATGATGTGTGACTTACTCGGAATGGAAAAGTCAAATGGAGCATCTAGACCATATGAAGCGCTAAAAGCTGAAAGAAAAGGATGTAAAAATAATAATGTTATTATGGTCATATGTATTATAAAGGTATAAATTTACTTACGATACTGTTAGAGGACGTATGCGCTATTTACCTCTTTTTGCACTTCCCCCTTGGACTTTGCTTCTTCGCTGTACGCATGGCACTGTGTATACAAAGTAAGGCACGTGTCATGAACAATCAAATGGGTCGAACCTTCCTATAACGTAATGTCCACCTTGTAGGTGACAGTTTCCAGAAAAATGGCGGATATTGTAATGACCTTTTTTGGGGAGGGGGGATAAAAACCTTTTTGGGTATAAAAATTTTTATTATATAGCAAATTCATGCATAATGAAAAATCAAACTATACAGAAACCAACAGTTTACAAAAATGGGAATGTTTATAAACGGAAGCGAATGTCTAGTTGGTAGGTCGGTTTGTGCATTATTGTTTATGAGTCTTAAACAGCTTTTTGCGGGAAGGTTATTTTGGCATTTGGGTGGTATATACTATGGGGCAAGAAGTGAGAGATGAGAGGTGAGATCGGGGTCTTTAAAATGAGAAAAACTGTATGGACTGTCCGCAGGGACAGAGAATAGGAATGTTAAGGAGAGGTTGCCCTTTGAGGCCGTTAGAAGATATCAGGCTTTACTTTAGCTGATTTGCTTTCTCAGGTTAAGAGGAAAAAATGTTCTTTGTAAAGCTAGCCACTAATTGTGCAGCTGTGAATGGACTCTGAAAATTCAGTTCGTAAGAGGTTGAAAAGGTAAAGCTACACTCTAACACATAAGAAGAAAACGTACCACTCTAAACAGTTGAGGCGGGGAGGTCCCTTATTTCAGACTAAGATCTCATTTGATTCATAAGGATTTTCCAAATCAGAGATTAGCAAGGCCACAAGGCAGGGAGATAATACCATTTGTGCCCTTCAGCAAGACTTAAAACACTCCTGAAAATGGGCGTTTAAATATTTCAATTATATGCATGCCAGCCTACCTTTATCGTGTTTACTGATGTGTGAATGGGAGATACCACGGACGTTTCGGCTGTGCTTTTGAGATCTCAGCACGTTCACTTCCTCTCCGCTGTTTCCACTGAAGAGAGCTAAAGATGCAGGATTAATCACGGGGTGCCCTTGACCGTCCTTGTGAAGTTTGATGGCATTTACAAGTCTTTCAGTAAAAGCCTCTTTGACGCGTTTCTTGTCTTGATCCAAAAAATATATGTTGGTAAATACAGGTAGGAATTAAAAAATAGTCATCTTTCAAAAAAAATCCCTACGTTCAAGCCACCCGCTTAGGTTAACGAAAAGAACAAGAGCTCCACTTAGCAATTACCTGCACTGCTCTGTCCTCGCTTTACTTTGCGCTCTACACGAGGTACGTCACCGTTTCTGCAGCTTGAAAAAATCGGCCTAAATTTTGCCAAATTTGTGGTTTGATCCTTGTCATGCAATCTCCCTCATCATAAATCCCTTTTAAATCCTTTATAATTTACTATTATCTCCGTGTTTTCCATATTACCAAACTAACGTTTTGAGGTTTGTTTCGATTTCAACACTTCATTCAGTACAGAGCCTCCTTTTTCGTCATTCATTATATTAACCAGCGCATGCGTAATGGCTTCTCCTGTCCGAGGGCGCCACGTGACCAAACGAAACCATACCTATGCTCTGGAAACTAGAATTGGGTCAGTGTTATGTCAAATTCCTATACAAGAATGGCGGTTTGGGGGTCAAATCCTTGACCAGCTTCCCGCGAAGCCTGGTAATATAAAGCTAATAGGGAGCTGAAGCAAAGACGACGGTGACGACAATGACGTCAAAAAAGCAATAGTAACACATCACGCTTTTATTTTTCTTTATTTCGTTGCCGTCTCTTTACGATTACGACGTGAAAGTGCCTAATTTCACATTTTGTGGAGGACGTGAACACAAGACAAGACTTTCTCATTCTTTTCCTAAACTTCTGATACAGTTTTTTCGAATTTAGCTCCTGACGAATTGAACGAAATGGAATAAAGCAGCGTGAAAACAGTATTAAAGCCCCGTGCAAACGGACGCAACATTGTTGGCCAACAAATCCCAGCCTTGTTGGATGTTACATGTTGCGTCCGTTTGCACACCTTGTTGCATGTTGTTGGATGTTGTTGCGCAAAGTTTGAAACCGGTCAAACTTTTCAGCCAACAACTCCTAACATTTCTTTTGTTCCGTGATCGCCGAAGCGTAGCTTAACAGTGTTAGATCTGTTTGTACAGCTCTTCCAACATTGTTGGGGCCGCGAACGCTCATTACGCATGGATTACCAAGACTTATGGGTTGTATTCTGCCCACGATGCACTGCAGGTCCCAAACTTGTTGGAAGTTGTTGCATCTGTTTGCACACCACTGCCAACACGCACGCAACAACTCCCAACGTTGTTGGCGCAACAATGTTGGCAGTTGTTGCGCCCCGCCGTTTGCACGCAGCCTAAGACGTTTTTGTGGCTCTAGTCAACGTTGTTGAATAAACTCCCTGGTATAAAAAAAAAACGGATGCGTCCCCCAAACAGTCCTATATAGCAATTCGATACAACACCAACCAGCTTTTCACGCTCGTCCTCAAAAACGCCAATCGGCAGATTTACCAGACAACATAACGTTACATGAGAACGAGAAAGGGCGCAGAAAGGATTGAATGCGACTTCCAGGCCTTGTTCAATTTGCGGCCGCTCTGCCATTGGTAAAGCCTGTTTTTAGATCTGCGCGCGCCGTCGTTACTGTGGTCGCGTTATTTTTGCGAAATCGGCTGCCTAATGGTACTTCTAGAAAACCTGAAAGAATGGCTGGGGTCTACACAACAAAGAATTGCTTGAAGAAAAACCAACCTTGCTCTACGCAGGAAACATACGCCACAGTCAAAAGACTTGTAAATATCATAAGCAACCTAAAAGGAAACGTATAAAAACACTCTTCAAAATTTCAAGTAACACAGCACAACAGGCATCGCCTTTAAAAGATGAATCCATGAAAGGGCAGTTCTTCAAAATCTACCAATTTTGCTTGTGAAAATCTTGGGTGACCTTTTTACTCGTCTTTCCAGGCAGGTTGAAGTATTTCCAACACTTAAAATATAATGTTAACGATATGCTAACGGAGTCGAGAAAGAAAGTCATGTGGCACCATTTTGGGCAAGTGAAGCAGACCATGATGGTATAAACATTTTGGAGAGTATTCCTAAGTCAGGTTGCATCTTTGCCGCCTTACAATGCTTTATTTTTTATTATATTTTAAAAAGCATGGATTATATTTTCGATTAAGAGTGTTGTTTATAGCTTTAGGGTTGTTTTATGTAATAAAATTCTAAAACTGATCAATGGCACAATTTCCAAATAATGCACTGCCCTGTAATTTTTAACCAAGATCAAACTTTATTATTTTTGTTGTTGCTATGTTGTAAACCGTATTTTAACGTTATTCCTTTTGCTGTTAGTTTTAATTAAAACAGTCCGGCTTTTGCAAGAAAGTCAAGTTGACTAAACACACACGAGCTCGCTTAACAGGTATTGCAGAGAGTGAAAAACAGAAATATTTTGATAACCCCTCGCCGACTGGTTCTATTATTTTCGTCAAGCCTTTATATCAAGTGGAACTTTTTTTTTATCTCGCTCATGATCGCTCGTCCTATCAGCAAAAGGAATAAAAGAATCAGAAAAAAAATATTCACTTACTTCATATTTTCTTGGTGTAGTAGGTAATCAACCGCTCACATCACAAAAGCGAAGAGTCGAAAGTTCCTCTGTAACGTGGAGAGAACCTGACGAATCGGAACTCGGCTTGAAGTGGTTTCTGTTTTTAACGTAAGGTCATGTTTCAAAAATCCCAAACATAAACTATTGCTTGTGGCTGCAAGAGAAAATATACAACAACCTTTTGACTTGATGGCCTTAATAACAGGAAAAGTAATGTTAATCACCAGTACAAGACAATTAACAAGACAAATCAAGTGCTACTCAATGAAAAATCCCCTTGATATCCACTTCAGATGACTGCGTTTCAAGTAATTGTCGAAACTTTTTTATGATCCTGGTGTGAGACAGTAGTGTTAGTAGTTGTAGCCTGTGTAGTTTGCGGTTTTGTCGCGCGCAACCGTTCAAACAAAGACTACATAAAAGCAGCCGTGTAATAAATTTGGCTTAAAAGCCATGAAAAGATCAGTCAAAAAGCTGCAAAAAAGCACTCCCGCACTGATCGTTCGTCCAGGTATTTGTGGGTTGGGGAAAGCAGTAAATCCCGGAGATGTCTCCGTGGTTGCGGGTTCTGCGATTTTACATCTTTTTTAAAAAAATCCCCTCACCCCTTTCCTTTGAATTCCAAAAAATGCTGCGAATTTTCCCCTTCCCAGGGATAGACATATCCGTGATATATTCCCCTGATGCGCCCCGGCTTCCTACCTCTGGGGACAAGCTAAACCGAGATTAGGACATAGAGGGATAATACGAAGAGGGCAAGATCTTAAGTGAGGCCCTGGGTTAAAGGCGCGCGAGGAACGAGGGAGTAGTAGCGCGCCCCTTCGCGTTTCTCTCGCGTCAAAAGCCCCCTTTCCCTTCCCTTTCAAATGCCTGCCACGCAGGCTAGCCGATGACAGGTGCATAATACCAAGACTTCGTACTTCAATGTTATCACTTGTGTTATCGACGATCTTGTCGAAGATACTAAGTCCTGTTTTATCATTATTTTTAGAATTTTCCAGAGTATTTTTCTTTAAATTCCAAACATTTTTGCGACATCGGTTCCCGAATGCATTTCCATTACTTCATAAATGGGCAAATATAAATGAAGATTAATTAACTGACTTTTAATACATAATTTTCTAGCCTACAAGTACAGCTTTCTCTCCTCGTTCCTCGCCGCTAGGGACGTTTTGTCTCCTGCAAAATGTCCCAAGAGGCGAGGAGCGGGGAGACGCGGCTGTAACAGGCTAAGAATTTTCCGAAGATTGCTCGTTTGCACGTGACTTCACGGCCGCCATGTTAGTGGTCAAGAACAAAAGCATTTCTCTCCTCTGGCCATGGGAACTATACACCTTTTTCATGTAAATTCTTCTTGCCGCGTTGTCACGTGGTTGCAAACCTATAAAGCTACAAGAATTTTAGTGTCGTCACCGCAACACTAAAAACGGCACTTAACTGGGGCCCCTGTTGGCCGCACTGGCCAAACTTCACAGCGCTCATCAGTCGTACAACCACCACGAAAAAAGATGACCGGGTATGACTCAGCAGATTCAATTACATGTTCTTGAATTTTTATTCTCTTTTTTGAAATCATTAAATTCTTGCAACATGCTCCGTCTGTTAAAATTGTTTTACGTTTACGTCTGAGGAAAGGTGAAGGTCGGGTTCGGTCCCGTTCCACTTGTGAGACGCTTGTGATTGGTCAGTTCTTTCGACGAGCCCGCGATTTCCCGCCAAACGCGGAAAAAAAATGTTTTATGCCCTCATCAACCTGTTCAAAAGTCTCCTGAGAAATTAACATTTCAGCATTTTGATTGCAAATTACGCAGCTTTTTTCAGACAGTAGTTTTCATTTTCAGTTTTTAAAACTATTTCAGAATAATGATGCGCCTTTAACTTGCCAGTACTTGCTAGAAAAAGTCAGTCAGGATCAGCCAGATGTGACAGTCATCGGATGTTTACATCGAAATTTCGCTCAGTGTGGGCTCTCAGTATTTGGCTCTGTTTATTGCGAGTAATATAAATAAGCGATAAAACCCTTTCACGGTGTAATTAAGAACAATATTTACAGAGGGCATTGCTCGTAGTAAACATGGATGAAGGAGGAGGAGAAAACATGGATTTCACTACGAAAATTGCCGAGCGATCCGAGCAAGACTTACTTCCTCTGAAAGAAGATTTAGCGGAATGGCTTTCAAGAGTTTTAAAAGAAAAAATTACAGCCGAGAACTTTATGGACTGTTTAGAAAATGGTGTCCTGGTTTGTAAACTCGCTCAAATTGTGCAAACAGCGGCTCGAGAAAGCATCAAGGCGGGGAAGCATGTAAAACCATTAGCTCCTTTCACTGAGAAGTTTCATCAGAATGCCAAATCTGGGACGTTCTTCGCTCGGGACAATGCAGCCCATTTCTTGCAGTGGTGTCGGCAAATCGAGCTTCAGGACTCCGTCTTGTTTGAATCAGATGGACTAGTTCTACAAAAACAGCCGAGAGAAGTGGTCCTTTGTTTACTTGATGTGGCCAGAGTGGCAGCAGATTATGGGATTGATCCTCCGAAACTGATCAAACTGGAAAAAGAAATTGATGACGAAATCGCTGCCGAGGAGCAGAAGAAGCCAGATTTAAAACCAACCAAGAAGGAAAAGAGAATATCCAAAGCAATGAGCATTGATGCTGAGGTAAGAAGCCAATATTCTGCTCTGTATTTTTAATATCACTGAAAGAATAACGAAATATATTCAACTTCGAAAAGTACAGCTTAGTAGGGAAGTCTTGCCAGGGATTTTAAATTATGAAAGCTGTCCCGTGGTCATCGAATGCGGGACATACGCCTTACCCCTTGGCTTGTTTTGTATCGCATATTTGAATTAAAAAGCGAGCAAAATGCTCCTACGTGGCTGTTATTGTCGAAATTATTGCAGGAATGTACACCACTTAAAATTTAATGAGTTAGTGAAAGTGTCAATAATATTGTATAGCTGCCAATTCTGAACACTCAAAGACTCGAAAAGACGTCAGTTGGAATGTTTTGTTTTACATAACGGGCAGTGATTTACATCTATTAAGATGAAAGTCACCTGTCCTCAATAACTGGCAAAGTTTTTATCAAGTGTACTGCCCATAAATAGGCAAAAATCAAAATATCATGGCGTTCAAAAGTATTTTGAAGGAGGTAACAATGTCTATTTTCAGGTAAAAAATTATCTCAGGCACACTGTTTTGCTCAAAAATTTGCTTTGTCATTTATGCAGGAGGTAGTTTATCCACAGAAGCATCTTTAATATTGCTACTTTTATTGTCAGATAAAAATACTTCAACAACAGTTTAGCCAATGCCAGACACTGATCTTATTCTAGCCAAAAATTCAAAAAAGAGAAGTTAAAATGCAGTAAAGATATATCAAAATTTACTCATTTGGCTGGGCTCACTTGAATTTCAGCACCTGAATCAGTGTCGGTCTACATCCATTAGTTCTGGCTGAATCATTTCAAACAGATTCATACGTCGCACTTCACAGGATGTTTATTCCCTAAATTTGATTCAACTCATGAAGTACAGTGTCTAATGGGGCTTAAGTTATGTGGAAATTGGTGCACACTTGTAAAATGTTAGTTTATGGCTCCAATTTAAGGAGCTAAATTTTCCTTTGCTGTGCAAATTTTGTTCTTAAACTAAAGTTTGAAGTGTTTATTGTTCTAAGGTTGCAAGACTAGCTGCAAAATATAATGTGAGGATAGAAAAAATCAAGGAAGGGAGATACATTGTGGAAGGAAAAATAAACATTTTTGTCAGGGTGAGTGTTTCAAAGCCATCATCCTTCACTGCTATATCATCATCGGTTGACTGAAAAGCAGTTGACTGTAAAGCATCTCCAACTGACTCTGTTTTGGACAATTCACTGTGGCTGAGTGAAAAGGAGATAAGCCTCTAAGAAGTGCTTATTGGAGTCCATCCATATCTGGACTTGGTTGGAAAAGGACTTCTACAGTCTCCCTGGGGTCTTCTCCCTTGGAGGGGCTCATACATTGCGTAGATGTTGGTGGGTTCATCCTTTTCCATGCAGAAAATGTGGGCAAGGAACTTGAGCTGTTGTGAGATGACTACCGATAGCAAAGGGCTAGTGCTAATGAGATAGTAAATTGTGTCATTTGAGACTTAAACGAAAATAAAATTTGAACCTAGGATAGGAATCAATGAATCATGAAAATGCATGTCCAGTTGGAAAGAATCCCTTTGACGGTTTATATTAAAAGCCCGGGGGGGGTGGGGCCACTTGGTATTTTTTGGGTGGGTATGTGCCGCCCGGGAATCCAAATTGGCACCCCGTTCTAAAAAAAATTCCCCTAAAATTGATACCCCGTTCTAGAATTCGCCCTAAAACTGATACCCCATTCTAGAAATGGCGGTTAAAAAATATGAGGCAAGATTCCACGTTTCTCATGTTGTCAAACGAACAATTGCGTAACTTGGCATAATTTAAAAGCAATCTGTCCTTGAATAATTTCAAATGGCTGCTTACAAAACTGGAGCTTTCATGCGTTCGAAATATTATACCCCGTTCTAGAAAATGCCTCTGAAATGGATACCCTGTTCTAAATCAGGAGCTTCAAAATCACGAACCCGTTGGGCGGCACATACCCGTATAGGCAATGTATGGGAGTACCCCCCCCCCCTGGGATTAAAAGTAATTTAACAAAAGTAAACCTATCAGATACATGTAACGGAAAGCAAACAATAAATTTCAGCTGAAGTTGACTGAGCCAATACATCAGTAGCTAGTAGAAAACGATGGGCCCTTAAAAAATATGCAAAATTCAACTTTTTGTATTTGGAAGGTACCACAAGTAGAAAAACACTGACATCTATGTAAGAAAAATTTATTTCATTGAAGACAGACGGTGTACATAACAAAAGCCTGTTGTCCTAAAAGAAAGTTAATTACTCTTTGTAGATTTTAAGAAACCATGTGATGGTAAGAGTTGGCGGAGGATGGGACACCCTGGAAAACTTTCTTAGCAGGCATGACCCTAACAAAATTGGAAGGATACTGACTTGTGAGTAAACATGATTATATTTATTATGTTATATGATCTTGGTTTGCTATTTTTTCATAAACATTTCCTCTATGTGATAATTATCTTTACTGTCAGAAATGCTAGGGTAGGAGGAATCTTTTTGTCTAGTTCGGCTCAAATGTTGGTGCTTTTGTTGACAGATTTTAATTACTTAATAAATTTTTTTCTTGGTGGGGGAGGTTGTTAGAGTATAGGTACTCATATTTGAGGAAATATGGTAGGTATGTTTGTTATGCTAATTAAAGCTTCTTGTTTAAAGTGAATACAGTCAAGTGCCATTAGAGCGGACACTGTTGGGACCTTAAGTTAGTGTCCTTAGTGAGAGTCTGTGATACCAGGAGTTTATTTCAGTCAAACATCTGCAATTTATGTCTGCCTGGAATTTAGCTGCTGTCCTTATTATTAGGGTGTCTGTTATAGCAGGGTGTCCACAAGGCAAGAGTTGACTGTAAAGAGTGTGTTTATTCAATTTTACTGTTAAACTTCACAGTATGCCAGTTACAGTAAAAAGTACACCTCCTAGGCAGAGCTGCAAATAACAATAACAACATTTCTTATTTGTCTGACTAAAAATGGTGACCTGCTCAGATGTGTACATGTTGCAGTTACAATCTGTTCTCAGAGGTTAAACCAAGATTTCTTAATTAATTAATTTTGCTTTACTCTGTTAGTGACTCTTGTTAAAGTGTTTTTTTTTGCTTTGTTTTTGTAGTATTGTTAATGTAATTATTTAATGTGATTATCAATAAACATACAAAAATAAAAAGAAGAAAAAAGAAAAAAAAGATTTCTTTTGGCTCCGCCTTTCAGGTTAGGAAACAAAGAAAATTCGACTGAATAAAACTAGGTTAAATACTGATTTAACCTGAGATTGTTTTTACCTATAACATAATTATATACCACATTTTTAACCTTGTCCATTGGAAAGAAAAATTGTATGCAGCCCTACAGACGAAAAACCCAATTCCCAGTCATCTGTCACTTCATGTTACCAAGGTTCCCTTGTAGTAACCTAATGATGCTTTATCTTATTTCCATAGCATCACCTCAGCCTTGTAGTCACCATAATCATCATCAACTGGCTGGATTGGCAGCATGCTCTGCTTCAACATGAAAGACTGATACCATACACATAATGTTAACTTTAACTTTAATTTTTTGGGTACCTTACAAAAACAAAATACTGAACAGTAATTTCAGTGTTTTAATACAACAGACCCTTTCATTGAATTGCCAACAATGGCCAAAGAAAAATTTTAAGAAGAATATTTACAAAATTTCATTGGGTGCGTTCATATAGGTAATAGCATCATTTGTAGAGATATTTGGCATAAATACCAGGAGTGATATATTTTTTGAAATTGTTATACGTAATTTTACAAGCCATTTGTCGAGTAAAATTTGAGACAATTTTGAAATGTCACTCATGGTATTTATGCCAATACAAATCATGCTATTATTTGTTTATACTACTACCCGCAAAAGGTTTGTTATTTTCACATTTAGGTATATCAAATTAAGCTGAAATACCACTGCTCTAAGCCAATCAAATTGCAGAAAGTACTCATGTAGTAGTATAAAAAAATGAAATACAACCATGCAAGAGTACTGCTTTTTATATGTATCGATGTAAGAAATCAGACAAGATGCTGCGTTTGATCTGATATCTATAGAAACCAAGACAGGTTGAAAAAACGAGGTACAGTTCTGCTAGCTTGAAAGTTTCTGGATATCAGATGAAAAACAGTGCTGAGTGTTGGATTAAAAAGTTGAAATTGAGGAAAATTTACAAGCTGACCTGCTTATATCTCCTTCACTGAATAAATCACTATCCAGAGGATAAGTATTAAGAAAGTCCATTGCATTATCCATTGAATAGAGATTATGCAGTGAATAGCATTAAAAAATCCACATTTTAAAAAATCTCGGCCTGAGATCTCTTTAGCCACCAAGTGCTTCCTTTATTAAAAAGTGAAAAGTTGCTCAACATAGAGTTTTTCCTCCATACGCATGCATCTCTGATAGTTTTAAATTTGAGCTGAGAGAGAATCCAAACACTATGTATCCGTAACAGTAGTCTTGCTTTTTGAAAAGTTAGTTATCTTTTATTTTGACCTGCAAAAATTATGATAATTTATGTCAAGAAATTAATGTAGAGGTAAAACAGTGTAATTTCCTGTAGGAAAGTTAACAGACATCAGGTAAGAACAGATTTTTTTGTTTCATCAGTGTTAATTTTATCAGTGGTCAATTAATTAGGTCCCATTTTGATTATTGGAAGTTGATAAAGATTCAACAATGGAATCAAAAGCTTGTGTTTAAAATGTTGGGGACTCTTTTTGCAAAATTTGGTACTTTAAGAAAAGAGAGATGCTTATTCTTCGAGGTTCATATCCACCAAAGGATTTGTTTCTTTATTGGCATACACATTTCTATTATTTCAAATTGTACACCTTTTCCAAAATGTAGGACAAACCAGCTAAAACCAATTTTATCTAAGTATCACTTGGCAGCTTAATACCCTAGTTTGGAAACTCTTTCACAGGGTTGGTATTTTTACAAAACCTTTTTTTGATACTAACTAGAAAATTTACTATGAGGTGCTTTTGTAAATTTTGTAGGTTCATTTTTCTTCCATCCAACAGAAAATATTTGATACCTGAATTTTGTCAAAAGTTGGAATGATACAATTTGCTAAATATGATATACACACTAGCATGATCTGATCACAACAGATCAGTATGTATTAATTTGGTGTGAATAACATTTTCCACTATGTTTTGTCAGCATGTAACACTATACTTTATTGTCATGAATATAAGTTGTGATACATTTTTTTTCAGCTGGCAATATTTATCTCATGATACATGAGTACACTTTATTGTTGTGTTGCAGCCTTAATATAATATTATTTTGTCAGTGGTATTTAGTTATACTGCAGCTGAAATGGGCAAAATCATGACTAATCTACACAACAAGTCATGTTAAAAATGTTGCCTTTAAGGAACCAAAGTTTGTGATTTTAAAGCAATGCTGTTTTATTTAGATTGATATTTGGAATTTAATATTTATAAATTAAATACATCTGAGTAACTTCACTATTTAATAAATAAGTGCTTGTTTTAATTAGTGCTGTTGCACAATTTTGTTACCAAGGATGTTCTATATTTTCTAAAATAAAATTCAGTCAAAGAGGAGTTTAATTTTATGACATGTATAGATTGGAGTTAATAAAGAAGAATCACAAAGAAAAATTGGTTTGCACGTATTTATTTTTGTAATTGGAGGTAAATTTTGTCACCCTGTTTTAATATCACTTGCAGTGGTAAACAAAGAAATAAAATATTATGCCATTTAAGCCAATGGACAGCCCTATTTGTCAAGGGCACTTGAATTCAAATCCGGAATAATATACCAGCTCTAGATCCTCAATATATACACAGCCAATAATGAGGTTCAAAGAAATTTGAAATGTGCAAAAATGAGCAAGAAAGATCCTCGTTGATCATCATTGATTTTTCACTAGTCTCCCTTCCTCAGAGGCTTCTTTCTGTCATCAATCTTGTACCCAGAGTCTTCAGGTTGTTTGGTCAGCCGGGTAAAAAGCCTGAAGACTCTGGGTACGAGATTGTAATGTCATAGCATGCTGTGGAGACTGGGGAGAAGCAGGAGCCAATTATTAAGAGAAGCCAATAAAAAATTAGCACTCTTCTCAGTTAAAAATCTTTTATCATGGCTCACATACGAGCTATTCTTTTGCAATCTGTTCTATTCTTTTCTGCAGAGAGGAGAGTTTTCTTTATATACTTTCAATACTTTGCAGCCAATTGGATCCTTTACAATGCTGTAATCATTGCATGTTACTCTTTAAATCCAGTGCAATGTTCCAACACACTATCGCTGATCAGTTTGTCCCTGAAAAATACCCTAATTATAGTAATTTCATGATGTGCAAAAAATGTGAAAAGATTAACTTCAAATAATATTATATTAACGAAGAAGGAGAATTCAAACACCAGCTTACTGGTATGCCTACCAAATTGACTGCACTTTATATCTTTTACACTTTCTTAGGATACAGTTTTGTTAACTAATTTGTCCTACATACATGGCAATGCATGACTATTTTATTGAGAAGAAGAATAATTATTTTATACTACGCTGAATTTTGAAGATTTCTTTAATTAAAAATAAATTATACCATCCAAAGAGATTTGATTCAAGCCTCTTTCAGCCAACAGTCCACTGCAAAGAGAAAAAGAGTCAGATTAAAATATTGTTACTTCCATCATTAACATGAAGACAGCTTCTAATTTTTAACCTTCGGTGACACTGATACCAATAAGAATATTCTCTGTGCTGGTCTCCCTTCTAATCATGGTACTTTTAATTAGTTAATGAGGAGAACAAACTGGGCTCGAAAAAATGGAAACTCATCTCTTACCCCTTGGGCAAAGGCCCTGGCAAATCTATTAATATTACTGAAACGTAAACACAACTGCCGCAGTTTGAGGACTACTTTTCCAAAGGGCAAGTATTAAAGAATACCAGCTTCTTTCAATCACTGATTTATTTATTAAATTAAAAATCAAACAGAGACACTTAATCTTGTTTCATCATTTTCTTTCTTGCCATTAAGCAATAGTAAACTTTCTCTGTGTTTGCATAGCCTTTACAGTGGTACAAACATGAGAGGGAGCTGGGAGAATTCAACACAGTTCAGCCTGTGATACATGTAGTTTTACCATGTCATGACATGGTCATCACTAAAACAAACAAGTTACACACTTGGCCATAACAGTAATTTTATTACCGTCAGTGTCTAGATTCTTGCACAATATGCACCATTTTTTCTTAAGTGTCAATATATTATTACAGTCAAACTGGGAAAACTGTGAACACCAGAAGTATTTCTGGAATGTTTTTGTGTTGCAAGAAAAAAGCCAATCAGGCGTGAGAAAACTGAACTGCAAGCCATAACGTTAATTAGTTTGTGGTTTTGTGGCTATAGTTCGCATGTCCTGATCTTTGCTGTGATTGGTCATAACACAATAAACATTCCTGAGATATAATTTTCAAGTTTTTGCAGTTTTCGTACTGTAACTGGCAAACAAAGTTTGAGTCTGAGTTTTCAAGACAGTCGTGGGTTCTGAATCTTTTGGGGATCTGACGTTTGAGTGAGGTGTCACTGGTGAAAACGTGTGTCATGTGTAAAGGGTTGACAGTATATCTACTCTTGAAATAGATACTGAATGCAAAGTTGGTTTGTGATGCACAAAAAATTTAGGTCAGTTGTTTTCTTTTTCCACTGGGCCCACATTGATATCAGCATTTTATGCTGAAGAGGTCACCTGTGCTAAATTACATTTATTATAATTATTATAATTTATCATTATTATTATAATACAAAAAGTGATAGGATTGATTGCATATCAAGAGATGACAGTATGGAAAATAAAGAAAACACCCAAAAAGTCTCAATGTTCACCTTTAATCCTCCCTCTGATGGGCCTTGTTTTAGTGCTTGTTTCTCAGCTTCCTCTATTCTTTTTTGCTGTCTTTTAAGTCTCTCTGGATCTTTAACTCCACGACTATCAGCCTTAACACAACAGAGAAGTGTTGATTAATTATACCTGCCAGCTCACATGCATTAAGTGTGTGTCACACACCTGTGAATCCAAAAGGTCAACCACATGCATATAGATCAATTTCACATGCATTACTCTTAACTCTGGATGACTTGTCCGCTGACCATTGATGTGACAAGGTGAATCAATTCTACCCAAAATAGTCCAGTGAATGGTGATCAATGTCACATCTGAATCCTAAGTTATTAGCTAATGGCTCATGATACCTCCCCTCTGTAATCTCCTAAGATGTGCGTGATCTTGGCAGGATGGCACTTAGATTTGGTGCTTCCCACTGCTACATTCTAGGAACATTTTTGGGAATCTTTGGTAAAGTTCAGTAGTCGGTTTCTTTTTGGAAATTCGCTTAAATAAGGGTACGAAAAATCACGTGCATTGGACTTTGGAAAAATGGCCAGTATGGTAGATATGTTGTTTAATCTTGGACTCCCGGAACAATTCACAGAAATCATTTGGAATTGATTTCAAATTTTCACAAGAATTTAGTCATTGGAGTTGATTTCAGCTTCAATCCAAACTGTGCCAAGGTAATGTTATAATTAATTATTGTAAAAGGTCGTAACACTGATTAAAATAAAAAAATTATATGATACTATAAATTACTAGTAAATATTTATGATGACATAATTCAATCAACCTACTTAAATTTATTTTCGTTGCAAAAATAACATAATTTGTACATACAGGCACAGTCCACATCCACATAATTACAGAAATCCCAAAAGGCAAACGAGTATGGATCAGCCCTTGCATGGACACTTGTAGACTACTTAGTGTTAAGGTGGCTCAACCCAGTATTTCATAGGCACATCCTCCATCTTTGAATCTCTTATACTTAAACAAATCTATCTGTATTGCAAATGATTATGACATGGATTTACTAATACAGTGAACTTTATCATGGTATTATTTTTTGGGCGATTGGAATAAATGTCACATGGCAATGACGTCACAATGGTTTTAGCTCTAAATCGAATTTCAGCCCTGTTCGGCATTTTCTTTTGAAATGCTTTACACTACGTATTCTTTGGATAAATGTCTTCTGCTGTGTGAAGTTTCAAAAAAATCTATAAGAGGAATTTCAAGATATCTTGGAATTTCTATAAAAAGGGTATAAGTTATTTGCTACATTTTGCATGTTTCCGAAAAGGTTTTATCACTCATTTGTTTTGCAAATGACCCTTTTACACTCAAGAAGCCGCTGAATGCAAGTACACTTGCGCGATTTTGAAACACATGAAAATGTATAAATCAGGGTAAAACACAATGCTGAGCTCTTTTTGCAATTCTAAGGCTACTTTCACAAAAACAGCAATTAAAACAAAATTCGACGTTAGATTTTTTCAAAACTTTTTTAGTACAGTAATTGATCCGTGTACTATTAAATCCCTGAATTTCGTGTCAATTGAAAACTTCTAAAGTTGTCTTACATGGGCAAAAAAATGAGTAAATATTGAAGCCATGTCATATATCTGGCTAAGTTTTTGCTCTGGGACTTCCTATTGTCTCGAGTTTAGCACAACATCTAACTCCCATGCAGCACGCGAAAATTTACCGCACTTGGTTGCCCTCTGAAATCTTTGCGAAATATGGTGATGCTGTACAATGGCAGAAAACGGTAAATCAATGTTGAATACTGAAATACCAGAATAATTAGCCTATGAAAACAGCCACCTCTCCTCGCCCCTCATTACTAGGGACGTTTCACCAGGAGGGATGACGGCGTCGCAGCAAAAGAAATTCCAGACTGATGATGTAAAATCTGTCCAGAATCTGATCAGGAGCTCTGATTGATCAACAGCATAGTTATATTGTTTTAGCTATTGTTAACAAATGACAGATAAAAGGCAAACAGTGACAAAAAGGCAAATGTAAACACACTGAGTCTACTACAAAAAAGGCAATATTTGTGGAATATATTCCTCTTTAGAAGAAACATTTGAGCTTGTTCACAGCAGAAAACAAAACTTTATGATAATTGACCAGGAGAAACATAAATCAAATGGATTTAGATTTGGAAGCCCATGACTACCAGATTTATTATGTAAACAATAATTTACATCATCAGTATGGAATTTCTGCCGCTGACGAGCAGATGTCCCTTTTCCTGGCAAATGTGCCTAGAGGTGAGAGGAGCAAGGAGAGATCGCTGTTTTCCAGGCTATGGAATAATGGTCTCTCTCACTTGTTGTTGCCGTCTTAATGCAGCCTCCTCTTGTTGACGCCTTCTAGTTTCCTACAAAAAAAATACAAGAATAGACCTTATTCATGATTCCCGCCATCTTTGCTTGCGCTAAAGGACTGGTAGGAAAATAGCAATGTCACGTGGTTTCTCAGGGGGCAAACAAATGATAAAAGCTGCCAATGCAAGAATTTGCCGTCGAGTTTGTTTAATCTAGACAACACAAAATCAACAACTTTTCATAATAAAGACGATAATGGCAAATTATGGGTAGAAGTAATCATTGTTACTACTCTGGATGCTGTAGTGACTGTAGATGTCCTCCCAGCAAACAATAATTATGTAAATCTTAATGTTGTCGAAACTCAAAATGTACTTTTGCTGTACTATTAAGTAGTTGTCTTGTTTTGATAACATAAACAAACTTGACGGTGATTTCTTGTATTGGCAGCTTTTATCATTTGTTTGCCCCCTGAGAAACCATGTGACATTGTTCTTTTTCCATCAGTCCTTTAGCATGTGTAAAGATGGCGGGTCGTGAATAAGGTCTATTGCATCAAAGATACCTGAAATGCGGAAAGTAATTTATTTTTAATAGTCCCAAGGCTTAACATAACAGTAACTACAATGAAAGTACAATAAAATAACACGCACATTATTTCCCTTTCATACTGTCGTGATGTTCATGCCCTTTGAAGATAATACACAACTTGAAATTAGAATCAGAATGGATAAGGGTAGGAGAGTTTTGACAAAGATTTTTTTTTTCTTGAGAGCGATTAAGAGAGATTAAAAAATATAGAGTAAGCTTATATTTTAACTTAGGTACATGCCGGGTGACGATGTATCTTAAAACCTGACAGATCTGATCAATACCTTTTCCACTATTTGTTTGCTTTTTTTTTAAAGCTTTTAAAAATATTTTTTCATTAACCTCTAAAATTATATTTTGATATAGGGTATTTTTTAGAATTGGTTAATCAAAAGTGAGCCCTAAGTTTAAGTTCTTACTTTAGCATAACCTTAACAAGCTTTCACACAATATGCATAGATCCTGACTCATTGGACTGTCAGATCAGCAACGACATACATTAATACTCACTGGATCGGGATTTTCCACTTCTGGTTGTGGACTTAAGCAATCGAGGCAATTCCCCATTTTTTCAAATGTAGAATTCTTACATGTCAAAGCAAAGGGAACAAGCAACGTGCCTATTAATTCGCATTCGATTTAATAATCTTGCTCTCAACAATAAAATGAAAGGCGTTGCTGAATCACAATGTTGTCATGTAAGGGTCACCAGCTGTCTTCCACTTTTGCTGTCCCAGGCCTACTCGGTGCTTTAAGAAGAACCAGCCGGCTTTGCAAAAATGGGCACTTCCAATATTCGTGCCCCCTCCCTGACCCCCCGCCTCCCCTTCACGGTTGAGGACCAACTAATGGAAATACGAAGAAAATCGACGCTATTTTTCATTGCACAATAACGACTACTCTATACATAGTTATCAAATCTTTATTTCCACTTCCGGTTCTGCGTTATGTTACAGGCGTTATACCATTTCCAAGCTGCAAGTCTTTTCAAGGCCAGGGGGTTAATTTAAGAAAACTTTTACAATTGTAATTTACTAGTGTAGCTATTGTTTTCAGACCCTAAACAATGGCTACACTTGTTAAAGTTTTATTAAATTGACTCCTGGTCACATTTCCTTTTCTTACAACAACCACAAAAAGGCAGGAACAATACTCGGACCGGATTAGCTCATTTACATACTTAACAATGTTACAAAAACCCTCACTTTGAAAACGAGGCTAAGTGAAAAACCTTTCTTGTGAAAATGAGTACATTTGCATGAGAATAAAAACTCATTCCGTGGGATGCCTGTGGCACTCCCACGGTAAAAATCCGGTTCGGTTGTACCCAAAATTGCAAAGCCAGCCAATAGGATTGCCTAAAATCTTTATCGATTATCTCTTCTTCCAAGCCGACCAATCAGATTGTACAAAATCTGTATAGATTTTTAATCGATTTGCTTCCTCTGAAGAAATTCGAAATCAGGACGTTCCTTGCCAAATTTGTCGCCCTTGAGTTTTCCCACTCGTGCTTTAGGATGGCTTGTTAACCAGCGAAATCCTTCGAGATACTGGCAAGTCACGAAAGGCGACCTAAGCCAAATTATTTCTTCCCTTCATGATTCTTTTTTGTTTAGGTCTAGCTTTTTCATAAGGTTTTAGGAGCGTCTGGTCGCGGGCCATGATTTCCGATAGATTTTTCTATTCGGAGTTCGCCAGTTTTTGCCAAGCACAGCTAGAGTTCAGTTTTTTTCTTTTTTTATCGAAAACACCTTGACGATGGGAGGTTAAATCGCGTAAATTTCAACTCGTACCCTTGACGATTGACGGTGAAATCGAGAAAATATTGTCCTCGTCGATCGACGACTTCCTTTTGGCGTGGACTGGACTTCTGGATGGGACACGGATCAAGACCTTAGTAAATTTATTATACCTTGGGATCAGGGATAATCATTGGAACTATGTTAACTTTGAGACCTTGGAAACACATTGCAATTAATTTTTAACCGTATCAGGAGCATCTTGGAATATTAAACTTTCATCTTGGATTAAAACATTAGAACTTTATCGAACTTTGTAACCCTGGGTTCGACCCTGGATAAAGCAAGCGGATGTTTTGTTTTGTTTTGTTCTATTAACCTAAAACTACAATGTTTATTTCTCTTTGAAAAAGTTACCTGTGGCAACTTAATACCAAGATATGACCTATCTTTATACGTATAGTTCCTGTTCAGGTTAATCAGAGAGCATTATGCGCATGTTCTCCATTACTTGTTTCCGTTAACATTCCAATTTAAGTTGCACGGCTAAACCTTGTTTTGATGCAAAATAACTTATTTTTCTTATCCAAATCGTGCTACGAAAATAACTACATAGCAATAGATCAAAACATGATCAACTCCATCCTTGCGACCACTGACGACTATAAATTTAGCTTGCGTAGCAGGTGTCGAAAGGGGTAGGGGATAGGGAGGAAGCAAAAAGGGGAGGTGGATTGGGGAGAGATAGTAGCCTGCCACGCAGGCTACTATAAATTCAGTCATAAGCACATTAAACCAACCCATACAGGTAACCTACTCATCGATGCTCATAACATGACACATCTTTCCGATTTCCCTAATTTTTCCAAATTCAGTTTTTCATATCAAAAGGATTCGCACTTAGCCTCGCTTTGAAACAGAGGCTTGTTCCCATTGTTTTTCCTGTATGTAATGAGTCGATCTGGTCCGACTTTTGTACCTGCACACCACAAAACCTGCAATATTTGTCCTAAATGATCTAAAATAATCTTATACTTCTAAAGGATACATTGATTCAACTGAGACATGGTTAATTTCGTTCCAAAAATTTAGCCAAAACATGTATTTAAAAGTATCGTGGGGCTAACACTGATAGGAACGAAAATTTTCACCGAAATTGCAATTTACAGTTTTAGCTTCTTTTGCAGGATCAGTTGATGGGATTTCGATCTACTACCTTTTCCCGACTTCTGGCAAAATTTCTTGACACTTCTAAGACCTTACGAATAACATTTTTGCTTAATTCTCTCCGAGCGTGGTAATATAACCTCTTGGGCATGAATTGACATTTGAAAAAATTGGGCTAACTTTTACAGGTTTTAATGCAACGCCTACTAAAGTCACCTAAAAATTATTATGGTTAGTGCACCCTGATGAAACATGTCTGATATCTTCTACAGGAGCATTTTGTGCCGGGTAAAGGAAAAAAGTAATACCTTCAGCACAAAATTGACCTAAAACAGCAATATCCTCGTGACATAGCCCCTTTAACCCTTTAAGTCCCAAGAATGACCAAAGTCAATTTTCTCCCTAAAAATCAATATATAATCAAGGGAAAATGTCGTGAGAATTAATAAAATAATCACCTGATGGGAAAAGCTTTGATATACGAACAAATTCTGTTAACTAATTCTTCAGGGAAATGTATCGAGATCAGTTTGGAGAATTTGCATTTGGATATTGGGGCTTTGGAGCTGTGGGCTTAAAAAGGGTTAAAAACTGAATTCCAAGATGGAACACAGGACGTTTTCGCCGTTTTCAAATAAGACGTTGATTCCAAAAGAACTTAAACCAAAATCTTAATTTAAAATATTTCATTCGTTTACATTTTATATTGAACAGCACGTAGTTTTAAAGTATGCTTTTATATAATAATATGAGATATATGAGACCAAGTTGTGGTTGCTTCGCCCCAAAACGGTTTGTCAGTTTACAGTCGTAAGCTCAGTGGCCTGTCCTTTGAATCGAGGCGAGGCTGATGTTGGCCTTGTACTACAAACCTTCCCCTTCATGTGCAAATCGTGTTATCCTAACAAGCCTGTGAACCTCATCGTTCTACATGTGAAAAATTGGAACAACAAAACAAGTTAACCTCTAGCCAGGGGCCCGTTTCTCGAAAGGACCGGGTCCGAAGACAAATTTGAAATCAAAACCCTTTTGAATAGTAGCACAGTTTCTAGCTCACAAACCGGTCAATTTTGCCTAGTTTCTTTGTATCATTTTCATAATTATTGAAATCTTGCTCTTGAATGCAAACACAGCAAACATAAAACAGCTTTTCGGGACTTTGGAGGGCACTGAGCACACAACAGCACACGTCTAACCGATCAGAACTTTGCAACATAAACAAAAAAGCTGCTCCTGGGTCTCCTTTTGCTAACCCAAAAAGGTACATGCAAATACAGCATTCCACAAAGTACCAAAATGCATTTGTTTAAATTTTTTCACACGAAACCATTTATAGACTGAAAATGGCCCTTAAGTGAATGCGTTCACAACGAGGCCAATAATTTGCAATAAACAGATGATGAATTTCAACAGCAACCACTCATCTCTGACTCTCATAGGGACACTAATAAAGAGCTAGTTAACTTAAGACGTTATTCAATCTGAATCGAAACAGGGAGGACTTGATATTATTATTTTGTTTTTGTATTTTCCTTTCAAACAATACCAGGATTCATACAAAAAATTGCAACCATTTTTCAAGGACTTTTTAAGGACCACATTAGTTTTTCAAGTACCACCTACTAGGAATATAATTTCACAGATTGTACAAAAATGCACATTCCCAGTCTATTCTAACAAGACTTTAAGGCTTGAACTGTTTGCTTCACCAACTTCTCTACATTTTTCAGTTCACTTGTCTTAAATTGATAGTTAATTATTGCATAAAACATACAGCACTTTACGTAAATAACCTTTAAATTCTCTGAGCTATGATTTCTATTCTGTCTCCGACAACCAAAAAGGATTAAAAATCTCTTCCCAGGCCATTACATTCAAAGTTGAAGAAAACTCAGGGACTTTTCAAGGACTTGCACAGAAATTGAAGGACTTTTCAAGGAAAAATGGAATTCAAGGACTCCCCCTAAAATTCAAGGACTTTGCAAGACGGTGCAAGCCTTGAACACACGTAAATTGTTTAATTGTTTCAATCTTTTCCTACAATTTAGTCTAAAATAATTATTTTTTTCCTACTCTGACTAGTAAACGTTACCCAAATTGTTTTAAATGTAACAGCCCTTATACATCATCTATATTACCGTCACTGCATTGAAAGAAATGTTAATTACAAAGAACACTAATATTCCAAAATGGCAACAAATTTTGTTACCCTTTCGCCTTTGATAATTTACCCTCAATGGAACGTTTCAAGGAGAAATTTCTTTCAATTCCACAGGTGTAATCGAGGTAAAGAGGGATAATTAACTTAACAAATATCAAAGACATTATTGCCGCCATTTTGGATTAAGGTGTATTGCCATTAGGGAGTTTACAACGACAACGAAAATGCCTGAAAAAAAGTGAATTCACATTCATAAACTTCAGCTCAATTACTCCAATTCACTGAGTGTTTCAAATGCTGGCATTTTCCTCAAGTTGAATTTTGAAAGAACACACCGAAGTTCAGAGAGAGTGAAAAATTTGTCATCATGTGTCTATGTTCATCACGTATTGCCATACACGTGAGATGCTCCAAGATAAAATAAAATAAATTTTGATTACTATTTCAATAACTTCCCACAAAGAAAACTAATTCTGTTAAGAGAGAAAATAAATAGTTAATGGCAGAGGTGAAGCCCCACTCAATTAGGAGAGAAAGTACACATGTTTTCTATTTCGTTTACAAAACCCTGTAAAATCAATTAAGATGAAGAATTCTTCAATTTGTCAGTTACTAAGGTGGCAGCAATCTTCAACTTGATCCACTGTAACGATTCTGAAAATATCAAAGAAATTATCTTCAGATAAGACACAATAGGGCCATTTATATGAGGAAAAATAAGACTAAAATAATAAAAAAAAACTACAATAATACCTGTAATGTTCCTATAACCCCTGAAGCCATGCTTGACAACTGAAAGGAAAAAAAATAAAAAATAAAAGAAAAGTCATTGTTTTTTGCATCTACAGTGGAACCTCCATATAATGAAGGGCCAAGGGACTGTTAATATGTTCGCTATAAGGAGGTTTCGTTATATCAAGGTTCTTCTCCATAACAATATTATACTATTAGTGGGGTAAAGAAAATAGTTCGTTATACCAAGGACTTCGTTACATAGAGGTTTATTAAATCGAGATTCTACTGTATCCATAAAACCTGGAATATCTCCCCGCATGGAGAGTTTTTCTTGATTTATCCAACCCGTTCTGTGCAAATTCGAGTTTTGCCTTACAATTTAACCATTGAATTTCCACTCAGCCATACCTCACCCCTTGCCTTAATGGGGGAGGGGGGGGGGGAGGGGGTAAAATCCTCCAAATGTCCAGGTTATAAAGGACTTGTATGGGAATTCAGATAATAGATTCAAGAAGATAAATACACACTGGGATTTCAGTAAAAAACACACTCATTACCTTATTTAACTGAAAATTCCAGTAAATATTATTAATGTTTTATGTTCTTGAATCTTCTACTTGAACTCCCATACAAATCCTTTGTAATCACAACCATCATTTTCAAGATAACACAATATGATACCATACATATTAATGATTTAACTCTCATACTGAGCTTAGGCTGCCTTAGCTTCATTGGCATGGCAAGAGCTACTGGTAATTCCAAAACAATACTCATGCTAGTATGCTGAAAGTAAGTAAGTTAGCTAGGATAATCATTTTGATGAATGATACACTACTCCTTGCCAAAAGGATTGATTTTTCTTCATACAGGCTGTTTTAAAGAGTAAGGTCTTTGGTATGATAAAATATGTGACTCAATTCTCACCTTCCCAGTTACCCTAGCCACTCCATCTTTAAGCTGAGAGAGATCTGCAGATGAAAAGCTACCAGAAGCACCTTAAAGAAAGATAAGCATCCAAATGTTTGGGTCAATGACTGCTTATTATGTTAAGCAACATAAATTAGGTTTTGTTACATTGTGTTGGCTGTTTGTTAAAATCTGTCTGTTGCTAATTTCATAGGGTTAACTGGGGCAAATGCTTAGCAAGTGAGTGATCCTTACTTGATCTTGAAGACCGCCCATCATCATTTCCAAATAGATCTGCACTAGACAAGCTGCTGGAACCTTGAAAGCGATCAAGTCTGGACTTGACCGCATACTCCTCCTACAATCAAAGACAAGATAAAACTCTTAATCAATAACCGGGCAAGTGCCGTCAAATTTTGAGTCATCATTCTGCGGTGATGTCATGTTACCACAATGTCTGAGTATAAATCACTCTGTAAATATTGCTGCCAAGTTTTACACTTAACAAGAGAGTGCTGGTTTGAAGATTTTTGAGCTAACATTTCATCACAAAAATTTTAAGTCTAAAATTCACCTGTGATATAATTTTGCCAAAATGTCCAAGCATAAATTTTATTACTGTTGTCATTGTGTTTCACTCTACAATGGAGCGCTGGTATATAATATTGAGATTTTTAAACTAAACAACATTTGCTGCTGTCATTTACCATATGTATTGTGGCTAACATCCAAAATCAAGTGAACACTGAGAAAGCTGGAAACTGCATTAACTCAGGTGGAGAATTTAACAATAAAACTATGTTTTTCAGTGCTTGATACTGAAGGTGATTTATGTGCACATTTATTTTTCTACACCGCTACTTTTTCTCAATGTTGCCAAAATAGCAACAAAAAATTAGGCTTCTTTTGAACTTTAGAGTACCCACTGCAATACATTGTTAGGCGCCTGGACAATTGTCTTTACCTGGTCTCTGTTGCCATAAAACTGATCTGAAGAAATACTCTTAGCATTTCCAAACTTTCTCTGAGCTTCACCTGTAGAGATAAACATGATTAGGGCACAAGCAGAATGACACAATAATATATAGTAAAATCTGGTTGTTTTAATAACTACTGACACAACTTTTTGATGGCCAGGTAGTATTTTTTCTTGATCATTATATTTTGCTTTGCGATATACATATCAGTTAGCAGGCATGGGCATCACTGAAGTTTGTCCCCCTTGGGCAAGGTACAAATTCATTGCAGATCTGCCACCTGTGCTCATTTTGTATTCATAAACAAAGGTGCTCGACAGTTCTATTTGAGTTCTAAGGTAGCTTACAAAACCAATGCCTTATTTTGAATTGGAACCAAAATACAGTAGTAAAAGCAGTTAAAGATACATTGCAATACATCATAATGTATGCAGCATAAGTTTCAGCCAAAACTGCAAAGAGATATTTCAAAAATGTAGAGGAACAAGTCATTTAACTTCAGAGAAAGTTTGGAGTAATTTATTGTGCTTCTAAAACTAAAGAGTACCTTTCAAAGAACAGCCCCATTGGCAATCGGTTTTGGTTTTAAGAGTAAGCAAACACTGGAATTACTTGCTCCGGAAATTCAAACAGGAGGCTCGTTCAAACCTCAGAGCAATTTGTTTTTTGAACTTCCAAAGCAATTGAACGACTTTTAGTTACAGGCAATTTCCAATGATTTCACTGAAATTTCTCTCACATATTTATTGTATCAATAAAAACCGACACCAGAAATTTCAGTCAAAAATATCAGCAACATTTTTTACTAGCAAAAAATATTTACTTGCAGTGAAATCGGAATATTTCATTATTGCTGAATGATATTTGTTGTTCTTTGCAAAGTTCATCATAGCTCAATGCGCCTGCATTAATGACGGAGCTGCCTTAAACTAAGTTCCTTTGCAGAAGAAGAAACAGAAAATGAATTGAGTACTTCAATTAGCTTTTGTGTAACTATATTCTTACTCTTTGCATTCATGTCGCTGATTTTACCTTCCTTTGTTTTTATGACCTCTATTATACAATAACTGCAATCTAATGCATTTTAGTCATGCAATCAGCATTGTTTCCAAATGTTTATGCATATAGACTGTGGTTATTTTGATATATGTTGCCAGAGGAATGATTTCTTGGGTGAAGTTTTCTCATTTTGAATTTTCGATATGGAAGCCCAAACTCACGCAGTTTATATATGTCTAGTTTAAACAGGGGGAAGGGGGTTATTGCTAAGAAGAGTTTCACTGCACACTATAATAGTTCAAGAAGGTAGCAGGCAGTAAGTTTCAGTGGTAACTTCCTGAAGAGAAGAACAATGATAATGTCCTACTAAATTATCCTTTAACTACAGCTGAAGGTCTGTTACCTGATGATGACATGTCTACAGGATTCATATCCTTTTTTCTGTTAGACCTAAATATTGTGACAAAAAAGTTCAATAATCAAACTACCAAAATATAAAGGGAAGAAAATAAACAGGTTATGATAACAAATTATAAGAAATTAATTAGTTTCTCTTAAATGCAACTTTTTCCAAAGTCTTGCTCATCAAAAAAAGCTATTAAGTGTATCCATTTGCATTTATTTTTACAGCTTTTTACAAATCAGGACTATAGTTATATTGACCTTTGTTGTTGTGGATACCTTGCTGTACTATTATCATTTTTTTTTTTTCGCTTCTTATACTAACAACAGTAGTTATTAACTTATCTCTTCATTTACAGTTGCTTCTTCCTATCATAACATAAAAAAAAAACTTGAATGGAGATAAAAGTCACCCTACCTTTCTTCACGACTGGACCGCCTTTCGCTGGAGAATGAGGACCTTAATTCATCTCTGTGTTCAACAAAATATAAAGTTTGGGTTTGTATGATGTAAACCAGTACCGACCAAAGTTAAAATAATGGCTAGCCGTTTCAAAATGCCACAAATGCCATAGATCAACTATGAGTTTAGCTTGAGAGATCTATACAGAAAGTGTTCTTACAGGTTATTCTTTTAGCTAGAGGCAAAAATAGATCTGGTTTAACACTGAAGTGAAAAAAAGTATACAAATTTTATTAAGCAGAGATGTACTTCACAGAATTTAGATGTAAATCGCTTTGAGGGGTACTGGTTTAAAGATTGCATGGCATATTTTTCAGCAAGAACTTGTGATGTCTAGTGAAGTTGGACAAGTTCAACACATTCAACATTAATTTTGTTCAGTTTAGAGGAAATAAAATTATTACATTGTGCACATACAAGCAAGTCAAATACCTGTCTCTATCTCTATCCCAAGAGCTTGATCCAAATGGACTGTCATACCTGCAGAGACAATGTTAATATTATTACTTTGCTTAATAACCAGTTATGTTTTGTTTTTGTGAGTGGTGGTACTGGTCATTGCATGAGCTCATTTCGTCCAGATCAAATTGACATTTAGAAGTGTTGGCAGGGCAGTTACTAAGATTTCAAGTTGTTGGTAAATACATCAAGTTGGCGGGTAATCAAACTGCTATGGATTTCTTTTGGTTCTATTTTTCTCTAATCTGCCTATGAAAATAGCTAAGGACCACATTCATAGTAGCCAGTGGAAACTAGGGGTGTAACGATTCAATTTGATTTCGATTATTGTCTTTTGATTTCGATTATTTCAATTCGATTACGTAAATGTTTCTTAATTCTTATAACATAACGTGTAAAGTTAACAACATGCAACCCTAAACCCTCAATTTGAGAATACAGGTAGTAACAGGGACAGGAGGATTCACAGTCGCTTGGTTTGTTGCCATGTTTGAGAACCTGACAAAGATGGTTTGTCTTATTTGGAAATTCTCAAGGGGTGGTTGAAGGACAGCATTTTTTACCAGGCAACACAAAATGGCGCACGAACTGCTATCGTCTTTGCTCGTCAATCAAAAATGCACATTTTAAAGAATTCTGGATTCTGATTTTACAATATAATAACTCACTGCGGGCACCCTGGAAAAGGTATGCAAAAATCGAAGCAAAATCGAAACGCGGAAGCAAAGAATCCTGAATCGAAACCGAACGGTCATAATCGCGATTAATCAAGAATTCGATTAATCGTTACACCACTAGTGGAAACATCCAGCTCTCCAGCCCTTCCAACAAATTTAATCAGCAAGCACAACCATTGATAATTTTAGATTAAAACTTGAAAAAGTTGAGCCAACTTTTTCAAGTTTCAATCCATTTCCATCCTTGCCATCTGTTGCAACCAATGACAGGAAACAGTTTCAAATGATGTGACGACAAGTATTAGCTAGTTCAAAAAATGACAAATAATGTGGCATTGCCCCATTAAGCCCCCTATTATAAGGCATCAATTATGTTTTAAATTTACTTTCTTGGAATACATGAATGTTATAAAGAGGACCACAATGAGAGGTAAAAAAGACAAATTACAATAATGACACTTACATTGGGGGTGGTTCAGTAAAACTTGTGCCATCCATGCCATAGCTACAAGGAAATCAAAGGAATCAAAAATCATTTGCACCTACATATAGATTTAGCAGAATTTGATTTGGTCAAAGGGAAGTAAGGCCATCAAAGAAAGTTGCACACCACTTTCAATGAATTTCTCTTCAAAATTCAGGGCAAACACAGTCCTGCTTGTGGGAAGTACAAAGAGGAGACAGTGTTGTCAACCTTTCACAGGTTAAGTGGGTAATCAAAGGGTTGACGACTGTCACTTGCAATACAAGTTCTGTTTCACCTCTATCACTGTGTTGAAAGTCAAATAAATAAATCTAATTTTGGTTTACCTGTCAAAGAAATCCACATTTGAGT